TATTAAGCGCCCTCTTGTTTATTATTATTATAATTATTTATAATATAATAATAAAAAGCTTAAAATATATATATAAATTAAATATTTTTAATTAATTATTAACTAGTTATATACTAGTACTACTTTAACCCTTTTTAAAAATAATAACACCCAGGTTAAATATAAAAAGTTTATTAAGTTTAATAAAAAGTAAAAAGCATAAGTTATTTTTATATTAACCCTAATTAGTTACTAACTAGTTACTTACTAGTTACTTTTTTTTATATAATTAAAAGAGTATTAAGCCCCCCTTACCCCTTAATAAAAATAAATAAGTAAGTTTTTTAACTAGTCCGCGACTAGTTTTTAACTAGTTTAGCTAAATAACTTTAAAATTTAAAAGCTATATAAGTAGCTTGCTTTGCAAGCTTATAAAGCTAATTTTAAAGCTAATATAAAACTTATAATACCCTGCGTAAGTTATAAAAAAGTAAAAGTTAAATATAAGTTTTTTTAATTAATTTTTAATAAGTTACTAACTAGTTAGCCTGCAAAAGCATCTTTATTTATAACTTTTAAAAATTTTATTAAAAATTTTACTATTTTAATACTTAAAATACTGCGCAGGAAAAAAAGGTATAAAAAAAACTTAATAAAAAGTAACTATAAGCTATAATAAAAAAGGTTAAAAAAATTAATAAATAACTAAAATTAACTTTTTTTTAAAAATATAATAACTAGTTCTTAACTAGTTACTAACTAGTTACTAGCTATTTATTTTTTATTACTTTATTTTTTTTTTAACTAGTTCCTAACTAGTTACTAGCTATTTATTTTTTATTACTTTATTTTTTTTTAAAAAACATGGTAACTAGTTCTTAACTAGTTCTTAACTAGTTATTAGCTATTTATTTTTTATTACTTTGTTTTTTACATACATTTAAATTAAAAAGTAATNATATAGGCTTTATTTATTTTATTTATTTTATTTATTTTATTTATTTTATTTATTTTATTTATTTTATTTATTTTATTTATTTTATTTATTTTATATATAAGTATAATATAGTTTAAATATAAATTAAGAGATAAATTAAGAAAAAAAAATAAAAAAAAATATTTTTATTAAACTAATTATAAACTAGTTAATAACCAGTTAGGTAAGTGCTAGGCGTTAGTAATAAATATAGAAATAAAGCAGGTGGTAAGCTAGTAACTGGGCCTTGTTATAAAAAAAAGCTATTAAAAACTAGTAATAATAATGGTAAATTACTAATTTATAAAGTTATAGGAGGCTAAAGGTATAGTAATTAATAAAATTAAGCTAAAAATAAACTAACTAGTCCCTAACTAGTTATAAAAAAAACCTAGTTAATAAGCTAAGTATAGGCATAACTAGTTTTTAACTAGTTATTAAAAAAGTTAAGGCTTGCTAAATTTTAAATAAAATTAGTGCTTAATTAGTTAGGCCTGTATATAATAAGTTAAATAGTTATTTTTTTAGGCCTAGCAGGTAAAGTAACTAAGAGGTAATAAATTTTTAATTAGTTAGTAATTATTATTTTAAAGTATTTTTTAAAAATAGCTTTTAATTTTTTAAGTACTGCTTTTACACTATAACTTATTATTTTTAAAATTTTAATTAAGCTTGTAACTTAGCCTAATTTTATATAACTATTTTTATTATAAAAAATAATAACTTAACTAGTTAGTAACTAAACTATAACTAGTTATAAATAAAATACCTAAGGCTTAAAGATTATAGCCTTTATTATAAAATAATAAACCTAAAGGTTAATTTAAAATAGCTTTATTTTAAAACTTTAAAAAATAATATAAATCTTACCTAAACCTTATATTTTAGGGTAAAAGCTTTTTTTTTTAAAAATTTATATTAAGGGCTGTATTATTTTTTATATTTTATTTTTATTTTTATATTATAACTAGTTAATAACAGGTTAAAGTTTAGTAAGTAATAAGTTAGGGTTTAGTAAAAAATTAGTTAAAAAATTTTTATATAATTTATATTATTATTATAGCTTTAAAATAAGTTAAGCTACCTTATTATTACCTTAAAAACTATATATAATATTATATATTTTTTAGGTATTATATTAAAACATATTCTGCCTATTTAAAGTATAAGCACTAAGTTAATTAATTAATAACTAAATACTAACTAATTATAAACTAGTCCTTACCTAGTTACTGCTTATATAATTAATAGCTTTTTTTAATAAAAATATATGATTTTTGGTGGGTACTCTTGCTAGTATTAGTATAAAAATAAGCCTTTTTAAAATATATATATAGTATTTATAAATAATATAAATTAAGGCTAATAAAAATTATTATTATAGCCTTATAAGTAACCTACTGCCTTATTTTTAGTAAAACCTAGGGTGCTAAAATAAATTAGTAAAAAAATTAATTAAGAATTAATGCCTAACTAGTTTATAACTAGTTACTTATTTAAAAAAATATAATAATATTATAAAACTTATTAAAAAATTAAGTATAAATAAGGCTTATTATAAGCTAGTATATTACTATTTTTTACTAAAACTTTTTAATTATATTTTTAATTTCTTGCAGGAAATAAACTTAATAAAAAATAGTAATATTATAAAGCTATTATTAATAAAACTAGTTATTTAAATTAAAACTTTAAAAATATTTACTAAGACCTAACTAGTTAGTAACTAGTTAATAATTAATACTAAAAAAATACCTTTTATTTAATTTTTATTTATATTTATAATAATTATCTTAAAGCCTTATTAATAAAAATACTAAAACCTTGCTAGTTTTTTATAAATTACTTTAAATAATTTAAAAACCTTAGTAAATAAGATTTTATAGGCATTTTTTAATTTTTAGTTTATAAATACTTAATAAAGTATAGTAATTAATATAACTAGTTAGTAACTAGTGGTTAATTAATTATTAATAAGTATTAATTAACCTACCTTTACCATGTTTTATAAAAAACATAGTAAAAATAACCTTATTAAGGCTATTATTATTTACCCGCTTATAAAATATATTTATTTTAAAAAAGCTTAAAAACTATATAAGTTTAAGCTACTTATTAAAGGTATAAATAATAATTATAAGACCTTTATATAAATAAATATTTTAAATATATGCCTAAAATAAGTTAGTAACTAGTTATTAATTAGTTAAACACTTATACTTACCTATAGTTTTAAAATTTAAATTTTTTTAAAGTATAGGCTATTAATATTTTTATTATATAGGTATATTAATAGTTTTTACTTGGTTATTATAATAAATATTTAATTTATATTAGTAAATACTAAATAAATATTACCTAAATAATTAATATTATACTTTTAATAAAATTTATTAACCTATGGACTATAAAAAAGTTAACCTGGAATAATTAGTTAGTAACTAGTAGCTAATTAATTAATAACTAGTAAATTATACTTATTTTTTATAAAATTTAAATTACCTATGTTTTAAATAATAGCTTAAATCTTTTTATAATATATATAAGGCAATTTCTTTAGTGCTAGTAGTGGGTATATATACTTTTTTTTAAATATAAAAAAAATAAAAAAATATTTTTTAAAATTATTTAAAATAAAAATTTAAAATTTAACCTAATATTTTAGTAGTTTTATAAAATATAACTAGCTATAAAAAAAGGCTTTAACTAATTAATAACTAGTTAAAGACTTATTAGGGACAAGTTTAAAAACTTATAGTATTTTAAATATTTTAATATTAATAACTAGTAAACACTATAATTATAGGGTTAAAAAACCTTAGGTTTTTTAAATAATTACTTTAAATAATTAATATTTATTCCCTATTTAGGTGCTAGGGGTGTAAAGTAATAATTATTTAAAAACTTTTAGTTTTAATTATAATAGGTTATAAAAGCTAAAGTATAATTAATACCTAACTAGTAGCTAACTAGTTAATAACTAGTTATATATCTAAAAAACTTAAACTTATAAGTTTCCTAATAATAACTTAAGGCCTGCAGGTCTTATTAAATATAAAATAAAAAAGTATTTTTTTATTATTATTAAATAGCTTGCTTATACTTTAAAAATAGCTATTAAAATAAAAAACTAGTTAGTTACTAGTTAAGTACTAGTTATAAACATGTTACTTACTTAATAATATTTYTTTTTATTAATTTTATACGCCTTAAAAAAAGCCTAATATTATTAAATATTTTTTTAGCTATTATTATTAAGCTTAAAGTAATAAAGGCTTTTAATATTTAAATAAATTATAAGGTATATTTAAACCCTAAAGTATTAATACTTAATATAAAAACATGTTTAATATAAATAAAAGTTAAAAATATACTTTTTTTAATATTTTTAATAGTATTTATATTAAATTTATAACTAGTTAATAACTAGTTAGGCACTAGTTAAGCTTTAATTATATATATATATATATACTTATTACTTTTTTAATTTTTAAAATATTTATAATATGCTTATTTATAAAAATAATATATATTATATTACCTAGGCTACTTTTTAAATACTTAAGTAAGTTATAATATATTTTAAGCTTTATTATTATAATTACTTAGTATAATAAATTAGTAAAAATATAGTAATTATTTTTTATTTATAATTATTAGTAAATAATTAATTAAAAACTAGTTATTAATAAGTTAAAATTTACTTACTTAAGTTTTAATATTTTTAACTTTAGGATTTACCGTATTAATAGCCTGTAATAATTAAAATATTATAAAGTAACTAGTTAATAACTAGTAATTAAGTAAAATAAAAAATTAGTTAGTAACTAGTTAAACTAGCTTAGGTAATTATTTATTTTTTATAAAGTATAATAAAATATTTAATAGTATAAAAATAAAAATTAAAAAAAAAAATAAGGATTAAATAACCAAGGCGCTTTGTACTAGCTGCTTTTAATTAGCCTTGGATGCCTGACCCGCGTGACCCAGTCGACCCTAACTGTGGTCTCACTCCAAGTCTCCCATCTATCTTCCTCGTCCTCTGCTACCACACCCTCTGCAGCTCGGCAACCTCCTCTTCACTGCTAGGCAAATCCCCAGGGATGGACGACACCCTCTCCCACCAGTCCTCAGAATCCAGTCCAAAGCCTTCTCCATTCTCCCCACCAAGCACAACAGCAGAGCCATACAGCTCCGCCATGTACGCCTCGTTCCCGAAGCCGCCTGGAACGAAGTACCGAAGAGTCTCGTACGCGTGCATCTGCGTAAAGGTGTTCCGGACCAGCTCTCGGAGCGTTGCGTCGTCCTTGGCGCGTAGGATGCGGAGGACGTCAAAGGGACTGTCATCCTCGTTTTCGTCGTCGTTGTCGTTGTCGTTGTCGGGGTCTTGGTCCCAAGTTTCCTCCATGCTATTACCACAAGCAGCAGCAATGATCTTCTGCTTTGCCGGGTCGGGATGTTGGATTGTGAATGTAGTTACTCTTTTCACTTTCGTCGCACTGGCTGCTTCCAGGTCCCAGTGCCGTCCCAGAATCCAGAGAATCTGCTCCCTCCTGACTTTTGTAAGAAATCGCTTGAATTGCGGGAGCTCAATGAACCGGCTGCCGGGGTAGGTGAGGATGGCGAAGCGCTTGAGCTGCCGGACATCAGCGTCCGTGAGGGTTCTTCCCATACCGTCGTTGTCGTCGCCTTGGTCGTCTAAGTTGGATGAATGTGCCTCTTCCTCGTCCTCGGGTTCATCCTCGTACTCGGATACACTGCTGGCGTCTGACCGGCCATCTGCCTCGCAGTCATCTTCAAAAATTTCAGCACGCCAGCTTTCGTCTTCTTCCTCGCAGTTATCCTCAAGATCTTCATCTTCAGAAAGCCAGTCCTCGTCTTCTTCCTCGTCATAGTCGTCTCCCTCGGCCGGAGAGTCGGAGCGGACCGTCGGGAATTTCAAAAGGTCGATGCCCCACTTGCTCCAGTCTATATCGCGAGGCCCAAAGCGGTATTCATGGTAAAAGTACTCGGTAGGAGGGTTTGATGGTCTTTCCAGTGGGCTTGGCTCAGACTCCGCTCTGGCTTTGGGTTTGGGCGTGGGAGTGGCCGGAGGGCTTGCAGGTTCACTAGAATCGGCGTTCATGCTGGCGGGGGTGTCCATGGTGGATGCGATCCAGCCAAGGCTCTTTTGTAACTTGCGACAGGCTAAGAACTGGTGCGAGGAATCTAGGAAATATATGCTAGTTGATGCTAGAGTCCGCTGATAATCCTGTGAGCTGCTGAGGTGTTGTGGGAGGATGGTTGGTGGAGCAGTGAAGATTTGGAACACGTCGGGATGCGCGTTTCCCAGCCAACGGACCTTTCAAGCCGTCTCATTGAAAGTAAGCGAAAGAGCCCTTCAAACAGTCTACTCGTCTTTCTTTAGACATCGGTAACCACTTCAAAATATGATGTTGCCTCCAGACTGGGGTTATGGGAACATCCCCCCCTTATCCGGCGTGGAATACTACCATAGTAAGTACGGTAGAGCCAAACCTCCAACTCCGGCAGATTAATAAGGGCTGCGGTAATTTCAAGGACTCTGGCTATTTTAACGCAGAAATATAGACACCAAAGCAATTCTTGGCAACTGGTTCGATTGTACCTGGGTATCGAGAGCCTTTATTTCCCTCACCGGAGACATGCAAGATGACCCGATGTAAGGTGCTTAATACAGCCTTGAGGGCAGTTGGAAGCGCCAGGGGCCCTATGGCAAAAGCGAGAACATATACCGCGGAAACAGGATCAGGCTTCCTGTTGTAGGTATTCCTACACCCCTACAACCCCAACGCACCCCCGGCAGCCCTAACAACCTCCTCCCTCCCAACCTCCCGCCCAAGCAACCACCCAACCCCAAGCAGAACATCAGCACAAAACCTCCTCGACGCCTCCAACCCTGGAAAAAACGCATAATGGCAATGCGGCAACCCACGATAAACATCCAGCCTGGTTTCCACCCCAGCATCCCTAAGATACCGCTCATACACAAGCCCATCATCCCTCAGCGGATCCAACCCCGCAACCTGAACATACGTCCTCGGAAGGCGCGACGCAAGGTATCCATGCACAAACGGCGAGAACAAATCCGAGTCTAGATCCGGGCGCACAGCGTCCTCGGCGAACTTGATATCGCGCACATCCAGCACGGGCGCATTTCCATTCTGCGAGCGCGATACCCATGCCTCTCTATATTCTTCTGGGATCCCGTCGGCCGTTAGTGTCGTCACGGGCACAGAGACCCAGAGCCCTGTGATGCGCGGCGAGAGGTTCTCCTTGACCGCGCGCTGCGCAGTCAGTGCAGTTAACTGCCCACCTGCCGAGACGCCGCCCAGGATAAAGCCCCTGCTTGGATTCGCGCCCAGCAGCGCCGCATGCTCCGCGAGCCAGGTGACGGCGTCCCACACGTCGTTGGGCGAGGTTGGGAATTTCCACTCGGGCGCGAGGCGGTAGGATACGGTCACGGTCGTCGCGTTGAATAGGGCGCTCAGGGCCCGCGCAAATGGGAGAAGCTGTCTGTTTGTGCCGAGGAGGTAGCCGCCGCCGTAGATGAGGATGATTAAGGGGCTGCCTGCCTCTGGGGGCGTAGCGGGGCGGATGATGCGGGTTTCGCTGAGATGGCCGTCGCGCATGCGGATGTGGATGATTGATTCTCTTGTGTTGAGGGTTGAGGTCTTGTCGCAGGCTGCTTTTTCCATGGCGGCGTGTTGGGCGCGTAGTTCGGTTATTGGGGCGCTGGTGAAGAATCCGCCGCTGGGGAAGGGGGTGTTGAAGAGCTTGCTCTTTGTTAGTTGGTGCAGCGCGATGAGAGGGCTGGGGCTTACCGCTGCGAATTCAGGGTCTGGTCTGCTCATTGCGATTTGTTCGTCGCTGTATTGGGGTTCATCTGGATCGGTAACTTGGAGATTTGGCTTGTCGATGGCCAGCTCGACTGGGATATCGTTTTTGACGCCGAAGTCGCCCATCTTGAAGTTTTGGTTTAGCTGGGTCAAGGAAGAAGATGAAGAGGGAGTTGAGAGAAAGGTGGAAAAGTGCAGTTGGAGAGAACTGGAGGGGCACGGATTCAGGGTGGAACCAGAGGCCCCAGTCCATCGCAACACACATGTGAAGATCCCAAGGCTCGAGCACGATAAGTCCTGATCCCTCCTTCACTTATCTCGGCAGGATGGACCGGAATCTCTATGATTGGGTTGGTCCAGCCTGGAATCATCATCCCATTCCCATGATACCATGGCATGCAGACACATAGCCCTAAGAAAACGCCGATAGGCCGCCAGCTCCAGATCTGCATCAGGACTAGTCCAAGCACCAATCCGATCCACACATCTGTCCCGGCATTTCGTTTCAGACTCGCACTACATATGAACCTAACATGTGTCTCGACTGTGAAAGAAAGCCATACAGCTGGAGGGGCTGGAGGAGCTCTTTCTTGCCGGGCGTAAAGCGGCGCGATTCCATGCACACAATCCTCAGATAGCCCACCGTCTCTCGTGGCACGACGGAGTATACCAGTCTGTATAAGATACATATTCCGAAGGTTTATGGTTTCTGAGCACCTAGAGGACACAAAGTTGGAAATCCCACCATGCGCAAAAGCAAAGATGACTGGAGCTACGTGGGCGCCTAGGTAGAGGCAACTGACGGTCTCGTTGGACGCCACGGATTGCACCTGGGTAAAGACACCTCCTTCATTCATTTGAAGGCTGTCTACATCCGGCGATAAATAAGAGATCGATCTGTCTGCTCGTCGATGGATGACAGTGATGGTGATGCGCTGTACTCGTCTCTTTGTTCCTCCTGCAGCTGGGAAGGTTGTGCCCGGTTCACAACCCATGTTCTTTTACCCTTCAGCTGCGAGTCTCACCCTGAGCTAACGTCATCTGTTCATCCTGTTCTCTTTGGTCTGAGCCTGGAATGAGTATTGATGTAAACGATTACTCGCCCATTCGACGATTCTGTTCTTCCAGTATCTAGGTAGACCTACCCAAGAGTACCTAATGATAGCGATCAAAAGCTGATTCTTATGATGCAAGTGGTATGCAGTAGCAGTTGGGACGAAGGAGGCAAGTGACTTTAACTCTGTACAAAATCCTTCCTCTATATATACTTATGTCTGGTGGATAGAAGCAAATGTCAACTCAAACTGCCCGAAGTCCCCGAGGACGCCCTACAAGTACACGCACTCCCATCCCGACCCCCATTCCCATTTCCAACCCCACTGACATGTCCATTAACAGACACCCGATTCTCAACCCCGGACTCCTCCCCCGAAAGCCCTCTTCCCAGCCAAGTCGGCCCGGCACTATCATCCAGCGTCCTAACAGAAGACCCCGTACTCCCCCCCGCCGCAACCTCAACCAACCTCCCAAGAATCGCAAACTCAAGCCTCAGCTTGATACTATACGCCACCGGCTTAAACATAACCTGCAGCGCAAACAGCCCCGCATACTGAAAGACCACAACCACAATATCCAGCAGGAGGATGATGACATTGATCGCAAGGAGCTGCGTGAGAATGACCTTGTGCGCGCGCTGCGGCCGCAGCCGCAGCAACTTGAACGTTTCCCAGATGTAGATCGACGAGAGGAAGCACTCCTGCAGACAGAAGACGACGAGCTGGATGCGCTCGATGATCGAGTACCCGTTCACAAACACGCGGCGCGTATGGCTGGCGGGCCGCACGGCGCCGTACATGAGCACGGTCGTGGGGATCTGCATGCAGATTGCGTTGGCGATGATGGCGTAGAGGATCCCGCGCAGGAGGCCCGGGCTGTGCAGGACCAGGTGCAGGCGCGACCAGAGCACGATCGAGTGGCCCGTTACCATGCAGTACCAGCCGGCTAGGACGACTGTGACGCCGAGGTAGGGGGTCAGGTTCGTGAAGAAGAGGAGGGTGAAGCCGACGGTGTTGACGATCAGGCTGCAGGAGGAGATGAGTAAAGAGTAGAAGTAGAGGCCGTGGTAGTGCTTGAAGGTGGCGAGGCAGAGGGCGGTCAGCTCGATGGAGTTGTAGAGGGTGATGCTGGCGAAGGCAGTGAAGGCGAATTCCTCGGGGCGGGTAATGGATTCGCGGATGGGATCGGAGGACATTTGATGCGTGTGAGGGGGCCATGGGTGGGTTGGTGGTGGCAGTGAGAGAAAGGGAAAAAAGAAGGTGAGGTGGTGAGGTGTTGGAGATAGGTATAGGTAGGGTTGAGTGCCGTTGGCTGTGAAGCTATTTGACAAGCTATTTGCAAGGCACTGCAGGCCAGCGGGCGTTTTATCAGTGCCAGGAAGGTTTGGATAACCCTGGGACGAGGCGTAGCTGCCATGGATCCCCAAAGTCAAACGCCATCTGCTCATCATGATGACTCCGTGCATGTTCTCGCTGCTCAGGGCTGTCAAGCCACACCCGACGGGACCTACAAGCTTATTGTTCCAAGCCAACACGAGATATAGATTGATACATTGTCTTCTCAACTGTGGGATATGTCATAAACATTCTGCAACCAACACCTTCATCACCACCGCAGCTCTCCCGCCAAGTCAAGTTTCAACCACGGAACACCCCCCAGCAGCGTCTAGACCTCGGGCTCCAACCACTTACCAACTACGTATATTCCCGGCAGTTCTCCGAAGCCTCCCCAGGCCAAGCTGCCCGTCCGGCTACCCGAAGCAATCAGAGGTGGCAGATCCCAAGTGGATACTCGGATCGCCCAATCGATGACAGCTACATCTGGCCTGGCCCTTGAGCTTCTCCGCATCGTGGCGAGTATAGCGATTTCGGCTCCGCATTCCACGTTGTTGTGCCTGTCTGCACAGCAGTTCTTGAGTGTTAGCCTGCTGGGTCGAAAGGTTCCTGGGCCCTGCTGTGTGGATTGGGCTCCGAGGTCGGGCCCAGCTCGTCTCGAGCAAGTCCAGAGCCGGTGGTCGTTCCTTAAATGGTAGTCTGCACGAAGGCCCAGATTCCGGTTCGTCCTGGGCTGGTCAATGAGTACGTAAAATCGCCCCGACTGGTGAATAAACCATGCGCTTGGGGTATTCGTCGCGGCCCGCCGTTTACTGCAACCTCGCCTGGGAGACCTTGGGCGCAATCAAAGGCTTGGTCTGGTGAGCAGAACCGTTACAGGAAGCTCTCTTGGAAGGATGCTGATTTGAGACGTTTGAACCGGTTCGGACGAAACTTGACTAAATACTGGAGAATAACATCGCCTGCATATGATTGATGCTCAAGCAACTGTATAGTGCACTCTCTGCCATTGTACTGAAGGGAGTGGTCATACTAACTATTGGAGATGTTCTCTATATCCGAAGCAGAGCTCATATGGTGGAGAAATTGCCAAATGCATAAGCATATGAGAAGACATACAAGGACCCCTGCTCAGAACCAGGTACCCCGGTAGAGATAGCAGGGAGCCAACGCCTAGGCGTAAAAAGCTTACTAGGGTATGTTGGGAACGGCTCTATGGTAAGACCCATACATAATTCTCGATAATAGCAGGCGATGCTAGCCTTGACCCTTCTAATACATGATGGCTTAACCTAATGTTATATAAAAGTCTTTGGGTAAGAACACAAATCTTAGCCGAGGGCACATCCAATGGTCAATGAACGTTCACAACGCGATGCCCAAACGCATATCCTTTCTTCTCCATGCCCATCAGTCGCTCCTCGTCCAAACCAACTACCTCCTCAAGGTACCTCTCCTCGTCAATTGCCCCGGCCGTGGTCTGTGACTTTTTCCCATCAAAAAAGTAGCAGTATATCGCAACAATAAGCTTTCCAACAAAGAATCCCAATGCCCCAGCAAAGAACGCCGCCATCACACCGAGCAGACCCGAGATGACAGCCGGGCCAGCGAACTTCGAGTGGAAGTGTCTATCGTAGATCCAATCATCGAGACGCTGGCGATGGTGCTCGCCGTGGTGCTTGCCGTGGCCGGGGTAGCCATGCACCTCAGCTGCAGTGCAAGGATGCGGCGCGGTCCAATCGCCAGAACATTGCGTCTCAGGCTCCAGTTGATGCTCAGGACCGTCCGATGCAGCGTGCGGTCTCCAAGCCTCCAAGTTCCACCAACCCGCCTTCGGACCCTCACTCCCCTCCTGCGCCTTTAACTCCTTCCCCTCCCCCTTAAGCTTCAGTTTCCGATGATACCGCCTCCACGCCTCCTCAACCTGAATAATGCTCAGACCCCCCCGTGTATCCCTCACAACGCCCACGGAGACCGGATGCTCGGTCGCGCGGCGGCCCTGCAGGTCCACGAGCGTCAGGGTGAGATGGTACAGGTCGCCCAGGATGGCGCCGGGCTGGTGCGGGAGGGGCTGGACGTCGAGGGCGTATGCGAGGGGGACGGTGTCGGTTAGGGAGGCGCGCTGTCGTTGCGCGGCGAATTGGAGGGGCCATGAGGGCGGGAAGATCACGGCGTTGTTGGCGAGGAGGGTGTCGTTTTGGGTGGAGAAGGTTATGCTCTGGTTGAGTTAGTATTGTCATTTGTGAGGCAGGACGGAGGCGAGAGTGGAAGGTAAGGGACGTACGAGGAACGCAGGCGGCTGGACATTCTCGAGACAGTCGCTGTACGAGAAGGCGCATTCGGCGCAGGTGAGGGTGATCGTGTAGGGCTCGGTCGCTATGGACAGGGGAGGCGAGGAAAGGTCGTTTATATTTTCTGCGGCGGTAAAGCTGCTTAGGAAGAGTACGATTGTTGTGAAGGATAGTATTTTCTGCATCGTGATTTTGCTGTGGTCGTATGATACGTTGTTAGGGTACCCTAGGGTAGGTGGGAGCGAGAGCCCAATGGGCCAGGGCGTATATAGAAGAAAAGAAGGAAAGAGCAGTCGGGCATAAAATATAGTGAGTGTGAGATATAAGCAATGAAAGAATATCAACGAAAGACATATCCCACAAGAAAGGGCATGTCTTCTACTTCTAATAACGGCTGCCTGAAACCAGCACCAGCACCAGCACCAGCACTGCCACCACGTTAAAGCCCTCAAATCACACAGCAGAATCTGCACTACCCTTTTGCATCCACAGGACCCTTGTTCCTGAGACCGCAAAGCTTAGCGCTGCTGCCTACTGGAGCTGTTTCGAGGGTATTATCCAGTAAAAAGCCCCGTGCTCGGGGTCTCCGAGACACCGGCCGCAAATCGCTCTGCTACGGCCCACAGCGTCCCCTATTCTAGGCCATATCCCGGAACCCGCGGTCTCCAGGGCCGTTAATAGTTTCGCAGCAAAGCTTAGCAGCGAGGTTATCCCGCAAGCGGGTGCGATTGTCCGAGACAAGCGGGCTGCGTGATTCGCCCTGAATTGTTCTGCCTGCCGTGGCTGGCTCAATGAGGCGATTGAGTCGGGTCGGGGAGTGTGATTTGTCAATTGACATGGGGTTTTTAAGTCGCGGACCCGCCGGCGCTCTTTATTGCCGTTTCAGATCATGGGATTTGCCCATGGTTTATGTTCATGGCGGACTTTGTTGTCGGGCGTTTTTGCGGGCAGAGTACTGCGCGGGGCTTGGGGAGAGTGTCGCACTGTCCTGGTAGCCGCGGCTCTTGTAATGCCGGTGGGTAGCTACTGGCTGGACAGGAATCGGCGTATCGGCTCGACCCGCTACAGCCCACGGGTCGTACAGTCGTACTCCTTTATCCATCTAGGACCAGAATAAACTGACTATTCAAGGTAATCATTATCGCTGGATCGCAGTGCCATGGAGCCTCAATATACTCGCACCGAGACCCAGGAATATTCTTGCAAGGGACCCCGGTGCATCGGAAATACAGTAGGCCAGCGACATGACAGGGCAATCATCCCCTCCCAACATCAGAGTCTAAGCCCTCAAAAGCATCCTACGTAAAAATAACGCCCCCGTCAACCAGCACCGTCTGCCCCGTAACATAATCCGAATCCCTACTCGCAAGGAACCCCCCCACAAGCCCCGCCACATCCTCCGCCCGACTCGTCCGCCCCAGCGCAATAAACCGATCCGAGTAGAGCTTCAGACTATCGCCCTTCTTCCGCCCCTCCAGCTCCCCAAGACCGCCGTCAATAGCCTCCCACATGTTCGTGTCCACAATCCCCGGCGCATACGCGTTAACCGTGATCTTGTGCCGCGCCATCTCCATCGCCATTGCCTGCGTCAGTCCGCGCACCGCCCATTTACTGGCGGAGTAGATCCCCATCGAGGGGAAGGGCTTGTGCGACACTATACTCGCGGCGCCCAGGATTTTGTACACGCCGACGCCGGCGGTGGGTTGCGGGTCGCCTTGCGAGATCATCTGGGCCGCTGCGGCTTTGTAGCAGTTGAAGACGCCGTTGAAGTTGACGGCCATGACCTTTTTGATGTCGTCGTCCGTGACGTTTAAGAGCGGCTTCACCTGCGATATGCCGGCGTTTGCGATCATTAGCGTCAGCGGGCCGAGCTTCTCGCTTGTCCTTTTTACCAAGGACGCGACGGCCCCGGAGGAAGACACGTCCGCTGGAATACCGAGGACGCGGTCCTTCGCGGCCGGAATCTGCGCCGTAATTTCGGAGACTGTTGCGTCGATGGCGGACTGCGAGCTGGGAATGTCATTTATGCACACGCTGTATCCATCGCGCGCGAGGCGCAGGGCGATTGCTTTGCCGCTAGACTGGGTTAGTATTGTTGGGTTTGTAGATGTAGGAAGAAGAGTTAGGGCTCGTTGGCGGGCTTACATTCCGCGGGCGGAACCGGTGACGATTGCGGTGCGACGGGCAACTGAGGACGCCATTCTGATGTTCAATGTCGGGGAGTATGTGGATAGACGAAGGAGTCAAGGTTGGGAAAGACCCTCAACGTCCCCAGGTGAGGAGACGACATCGAAAGGCGGGGTAAGAGGGGGTACAGGCCGGGGGCCGGGCAATTCTCCGCATTCAGCACCATTCATGCATAATCGTGTGGGTTGACAACTCTCAATGCCTTGGCTTCCGGATGTTGATGCCCGAGTAATGTTCTACTGAGTGGTCCGCCTGCAGGCTAAGGTCAAGAACCAACCGGGGTGCCGTACCGACTCAAGGATATAGAGTCGGTCGACAGAACCTGCTCGCGTGCTCCAATTACATACGCGTCTTTTCCCACAGTAGGATGCTCCTGCCAAGTTAGAGCAAGAAGCATTAAGGGGCAGCGCCCGCTGAAACCATGACTCGCGGTCAAGTCCCGTAAGGAGAGAACTGCTCGCCCCAGCGCAGCTGTTCCATGGCAAAAGTGATATGACCAGACAGGCAGCCGCGTTTCAGACCATACCTGGCTGCATCTAAGCATACTGTCGCCTTCCAAAGCATACCGTACTCAGCCGTACGAGAACTAGTCTGGCCGTTCGTAACCAGGGCTCTGTTGGCATAGACATCGCCAGTGATTGGCAGTGCGTTGAATGCGTGTATAGATGACTGTAAGCTGGGCCTTTGGTTGACCGTTTGATGGATTAATCGGTGCGGATCTGTATAGTAGTCTTCTCCTATCATCCTGACCGGGGTGGGCATCTGACAAAATCTAGAATGTACATCCAAGCAGTTCAGAATTTAGTCATTACTCATCTGCGATGTTTTGGCGGTGGTCATCATCAGCAAAGAGACGCTGCGTGTGCAGATCGATGTCCGCGCGATGACGAATGTCGCGGGATCCGCGGACCGCCGGGCAGAGGGAGATATATATCGCTACTAGTACAAGTACCATGAGATGTAGGAGACCAGCGCTGTGTTGAACTCGGTACGTAAGCGTCGCGAATGGCGATGGTCAAGGCTGAGAATTTAAGGCGTGACTGCGGTCGAAATGTCCAGCCTCGTATTATGGCCTCCGCTAGAGCCGATCCTGCGCTGGCCGGTAATCGTCAAGCGACGGATATCATGAATGAAACTATACTGGACTCTCTGGCATTCGAAAGGCGGGGATCTTCTTCGCCTTAAGCTGGGACTCGCGCTCATTGGCAAGCCATCTGCTAACAGCTGGAGGCTCATCTGATTCAATGCTCCCGAACCAAGGATGGGCCAACGCCTCGCGCGCAGTGATCCGCTTCGTGGGGTCCAGGTCCGTCATCTTCATGGCGAGATCTAGCAAATCTAACTGCAGGGTATTGTTTCCCCATACCGACAATGGTCTCCTCATGGTGAGTGGAGCAGATTTTTCTTGGTCGATCAATTCGGTCAGACGCCGATGCCAAATGTTGTCCTCGCCAATATGCGCTAGGAGGCCCTGCAGAGACTCTGGGTTCCCGAAGAGGCCGATATGTTGACGCAGGGTATAGTACCATCTATCAGCGCCGCTTGGAGGATCTCTTTCCGGAGGCCACGACCATATCATCGGTTTGTTCGTCATGGCGTAGATCAGCTGCAGGGTCGTTAGGGCCGCAACACAGAGCAAATTGCAAGGCGCCGGGGGAAATGAACCTACCACGGTCCCAAAGGAAAATATATCAGACGATTGATTGTACCGAGCACCGCACCAGACCTCGGGACTTTGCCAAATCCCGCGGCTGATGGCGCGAGTTGGTGTGTGCCATCCGCCAGGGGGCACAACGACGGCATCCAGGGCCTCTTGGAGTCTGACGGATCCGATTTGCGTCGCGTCCACCGAGACGCCCTCCCGTCTAAGCACAGTTGGTGTCATCCTGCCTATTCTCATTCTATAAGTGACATTGTTCGGCTTGAGGCCTGTGGTCTTTTAGTTAGCATGGATTCAACAAGACAAGTACACAGGCCAATGCGGTAGACATCCCTGTGTATACGATATTACGGTCATGAAGCTGCACAAGACCATGCAAGGCGCAGCGCAGGATGTCCTGTCTTGAGCGACGGGTCGGGTTTTGGGACGGGTCGATCATGTCCTGGGCCTCAATCAACTGCCATAGATTACCACTACAGGTCGGGTAAACTACAGCATTGTGTTCCGGAACGGTGTCGAGGATGGCAGTGACATTCGCAAAGCGCGGTAAAGGCTCCTCAAGGCTGATTTGCCGGTCAAACTGCTTTTTGTCTGGGAATACGACAATGGTGGTGAACTTCTGCGGCGACCCTTGGCGGCTTGTTGAAAGGTTAGTAGGTGAGGAAGGCAAGGAGGCACCGAAGTGTACATACGTTGCGCGGTAGTATTCGATTTTCGATCCCGGTTTCGTTGCCTCCGTGATTCGATGTTGGATGTGATATCTGCCCGAGTTGGCGGAATCCAGTTTTGTCCCCTTGCGGAAACGGCCCGTAGAGGCCCGCGACTTGGTTGACATGCGCAAGCGTTGCGAGGTGCGCCCGCGGGACAATGGGGTCCAAAATGTAGATAACCGTGCGGAATGCATGAGAAATTGTGGTCGGAGCTCTTCTCCCTTACTAGCTCTCCCCTCTCTGTGTTTTTGAAAATACTCTCGGAGTTGAGAAGGAGAAGTTGCAGCAGCACTGTTTGGACCGAGCCCGGAAGAGCGTCACGTGCCAGATGCCGAGCCTGATCGGCTCACGTGACTTACCATGGACAGAAGAAACGAAAAATAAGAAAGAGATCAAGAGAATTAATGAGCGAGCCGGGGCCTACACTTATGGCCAAGATGGCCAGCCTAGGGTACGCCCGGCGAGTTTTGGAAAGGTTGAAGCTACAAGCTTCTACCAAATGGAACGGACGACGCAAGGTACGGTACGCACTCCATCAAGACCACCTCCTGGTCTCTTGAACAATACTCACGGCTTGCTTGACGCTGAATTTCATTGCAGATCTCATGTATGCACTACGTCGTTGAACCATTCGTGCCCCAGCGCCTCCTTCGCTGTGACTCTCTTATTGGGATCCAGGTTCGTCATCCTACCAACGAGATCCTTCAGGCGCGGCTCAAGATATACCCAACTCCCAACAGGCTGCCTGGGATTCTGCTTGCCAAACCCCTCCGCAAGTTCCAGCAGTCGCGGGAAGAAGTCGTTATTCTCCCCGATATGCACCAGAAGACCCTGGAGCCCATCCAGGTCACCGAAGTAAGAGATATGGCGGCTCAGGATATGGCGCCATGAGTCTGGTGATGCTAATAGCGTATCGTCAACGCGGAAAACCATTTCATTCTCCATCACGTAAATCATCTAGGCGGGATGGATGTTAGCTGCGTAGAATGCCTGGAGCTGGAGAAAGATCTGAGATGGGAATCTCACGCACCACGATCGCAAAAGAAAACACATCCGACGCCTGGTTTTGCGCCGCGCGGCACCAGCTTTCTGGACTTCGCCACATCGCATTCCCGCAAAGGGGGCCTCGCAGCCATTTACCGGGTGGAACAATAACTGCATCGTCGAGGTCTGAAACTTGCACATCAGTTACGGTGATGCCGTCATTGACGCTCTCTTCATATCCGACGAGGATATTGTCCGGTTTGATGTCTAAGTCGCTAGTCAGCTTCGCACAAACCTTAAGGAAAAACGCCCCAATCAAACTTACCATTATGCAGCACGTCACGCTCATGCATATATGCAAGGCCCTGTAAAGCGTTGCGGAGGATATTCCGTCTCATCGCAGCGGTCAAAGAAGGGTTCCGAGCCAAGCGCAGCAAATCCCCAGTCAGGAATGGGTAGATGAACATCTCGTGTCCATTGTCGCGAATCGTATCGGCCACCGTTCGGATGTTCGAAGAACCGGATAGTGATTTCTGGAGGTCGAGCTGGTACTCGAATTCGCCGCTGATCACGTCCTTGACGATGAAGCTTTTGGCGCCGGCGCTTAGGTAGACATGTCGCGGTTAGTCAAGAAGCGGAGAGGGGATAACACCGTTGTTTACCTTGCGCGGTATACACATGGAAGCGGATTCCGTCGGTAGCTGAGGACCTCCTCAATCTTGTATGTGCGTCCTGAGTGGCTTCGCAGTATCGTGCCTAAAGTGAACGGCTCACGGGACGCGGTTGACATTGCGACGCGTTGTGAGGTCCCTCGGGGGAGGGACTTGATGCGAAACAAGGAACTTTGTAAAGCAGCCATTTTAGAGGGACGTAGTATACCGGCCGTGACTGGCCGTGTTGATAGAGCTAATGTCAGTAATTGATTCTTGGTGATCAACACCTCGTGACGTGCGCGGTCGGGGATGCAGGGATGCATGCATAGCTAGGTCCCCGGTATGGCCTTGGCGGTAGCCAAATGGTAAGCTTGACGCACAGTAGATACGCCGGCTGGTGTACTGAGCGCAATGAGGCGCTTCTTCAAACGCTCAGAGTTCATTGGGATAAAAAATGGATGTGTATATACAACGATTATGTGCGGCGGGTGCAATTATATATTTCGGTCGACGTAACGACAGAGAAAAGAAAATCAATTATCATCCACCTCTCTGACCTCAAACTCAAACATCCCGTTTGACGGAACGGTATGTTCATCCTGGAGCTTGTTGGCCGTCTCGACTCCTGCAGCTGGGACGCGATACTCGAAGCGCTTCCCAGGAGCGGGTGTCCGGCCATCCGCTAGCGGGTACGGGAACGGAAGGTACTCTGGTAACAGGCCTAGCTGGATAAGCACGGTTGCTTGGTCCCAGGCAATATGTTCGTGATACAGACGGTCTCCCCGGATGTTGACAACGGAGGTAAAAGGGATGCGCAGGGGTTTGCCGGTGGGCGGGATGCCGGGGAGCCTGTGTTGTTAGTGTCTCAATGTTCCAAGGTAGAAGGGGGAAGTGAAATGGCGGACTTACAACCAGTCGACGACCTTATTGTGCGTCAAGCAGAAGATGAATTCGTCAACTACACGATCAATGCCCAGCGTCCGGCTGATGAGCTCGAGTTTCGTGTCGTCGGGGTTATTGAAGATGAAGTGGTTGAGGTAAAACTTGCTCAGCTTGGCTCTTCCGATGCCGCCAGTCAACTGTTCTCATTAGTCTGAGGGTAAAAATGGAACCGAACGTGCTAACTGACCGTAGGGACGTGATTGACGTAGGGCTCCTGAACCATCGTGGCCATGGTCTTCTCAACGGACCGGTTCTCAAATTCATAGTATGTGTGCTCGTCCCAGATCTTCTCAAGGTCAAAGTACGGACCATTGAGGTGGCTCTTGATGAAGGTCACGGTGCGAGTGTGGGCAACGCCGGCCGAGGAGTAGTTGAAGTCTGCGTGCCCGGGTATGATGAATCCCGACGAAGGCACTTCCGGGTATGAGTACACCTTCAATGAGTCTGAAGGTTCGGTTTTCGACTTTGATGAATCCAGATGGAGCAGAGCTGGGATATTCCGCGTGTTCCAGACATCGAAGAAGACGGCGCCGGCAAACTTTCCTAGCGAGAGAATGTCTTGCAGGAGGGCACCGAACTCCGGCGCGTAGTCAGCCTTGGAGCCATAGACTGCGATCAATCAGCGTACATTCATTAAACCATGGAGACCATCGTACCTAGGACAACAAATTTGTCCTTTGAATTGCATTCCGCCAGGCCACTCAGTGCCTGCTCCGCGCTGCGGACAAGATCGGAGAGCGCAGTGTCGCTCTTGCTTGACTCGGAGTCCAGAGTGATCTGAGCAACGGCGAAGCTCTCCTCCGCCCACTTCTGCAGCGGCTCCGGGTCGAGGCTCTGATTGTTAGCCTGGCACTCTGCGTGCACAGCTGCTCTGATAAGAACCAAGCCCGGGCCACGGCCGCATCGTGAGAGAGGCGACTGGAGAAGAACCCCGGGGGCCACTTCGACGGTCGGAGCAGATGGGAGAGGCGTGGAGTCTGATGTCATGGTGCTGATGTGCTGGGTAGTGGTTTAGCGAGAGTGTCTTGAGAAGACGCAATATAAAGACAGTGTGTTCCCTGACGGATCGGATCTCGGCGTGTGGATGTCTCCAACTTTTCGGCTTTCCGATCCACCTGGGTATGGTCTTATCGCGGTCTTGATCGTACGATAGGCAGCATATCTAAAATCCTGGGTATGACATTCTTGGAGATAAAAGCTTGGAGATTGTATCTAGCTAGGCCACGATAGTAAAGCTATACTTGGTGTGGCTAACTAAGCTAATAGGCAAGGGCTATAATAAGGCAAGCAATATACTATACTTTAATACCCCTCTTGCTAAAAGCCCTATTAAAAAAATAAAGCTAAATATATTTTTTAAATAAAAAGTAAATAATAAAATATAAAATAATAAAAAATAAGTAAGGCGCCGCGGCGGGCCGCCCTTGCATATAAATAAAAATAAAAATTAAAATAAAAAATTATAAAGCTATTTAAAAATTATCCTTTTTATTAAGGTGTTTTATACTAAGCTACTTAATAAAATAAAAATATTAAACTTATTTAAGGGGCTTAGTAAGGCTATTAATAACTTATTTTTTAATATTAATATAAGTAAATTTAATATTATTAGCGGCTATTTTTTTATAAATAAAGTAAGATTTAATTACCACGTGCTTTATATAAGCATAAAATTTTAAATTTTTTAATAAAATAATTATGCCTTAGTTATTTATATAAATAAATATTAATTTAATAAAAAGTATTTATATTAAAGCAAGGCGCAAGATATTAAGTTTAATAAAAAAAAATTAAAATTATAAAAGTTTTTAAATTATAATTACCTAAAAAATATACTTTAACTTTATTAATAAAAGGGCTATAATAAACTATTTTTTAAAAAACTAGCTAATTAGCCTGTTAGCTATTTTAAAAATATATTTAAAAGTAAAAATATAGTTATTAATATAAGCACTGGCCTAGTTAGTATTATAATATTTAATAAAACCTTTGCTTTTATACTAGTAAAAAATAGCAAGATTTTTTAATACTTTAAAATAATAAAAAACACGTGTTAGGGCTATAATATAATTTTTTAAAAAATTTATTATATATTAAAATAAAAATATAATAGTAAAAAAGATATTTAGGCGCGTACTAATAAAGATTTAAATAAAAGTATTAATTTATTTTTAATATAAAAAGATCTTTTTTATTAAAGCCTTGCTATTAAACTTTTATAATATAACTTTAAAATTATATAAAATTATAAAGTTTTTATAATTCTTAAGGCTAAATTACTTTAAAATATTTTTAATATAGTATTTTTAAAAAAGGTAAATATTATTATTTACACAGTAAATATTAATATTAATAAAGTAAGTAAGTATTTTATTATTAGTAACTTTAAAAGCGCCTTTAAGCACCTTAATAATTTTTATAATATTATTTATAAATAAAAAAAAAGCATAATATTATTTATATAAAAAAAAATAAATACTTAGCCATAAGTAAAAACTAAATAATTCACGTGTATTTTAATAAATTTAAGTAAAATAAAAAGGCTAGTAAGTATTTTATACCACTTTTTTAATAATTACTTTAGGCTATATAAGGTTTTTAAAAGTAAGTTATATTTACTAGTAATCTTACTACCCTTAAGTAGTTTAATAAAAATCTTTTTAAAAAAATCTGCGTATAAAAAAGTAATAATAATATTAAAAAAGTATAATACTTAACTATAGCAGGCAGCTAGCGTAATAAAAAGTTTAAAAAATATTAATTTAATAATAGTTATATATATCTTATAAATCTTATAATTATAGCTAATAATTTAGTAAAAGCCTTTAATAATTAGGCAAGCTTTATAAGTACTATTATATTTAATTTTAAATACCTATTTAAAATTAAAAAGGTGTATTTTTTTTAATAATTAATAACATGCCACGTGCTATTAAAAAGGTGGTTATTAAGCTTTTTATAAATAGTTATATATTATTTATTTACCTTTAAATAAAAAATTATATTTATATATATTTTTAGCTTATAGCTAGTATTATTTAGGGTTTTAAAAGCGGAGTTTTATTTATTTAGCTTACTAAAGTTTACTATAAAAATAATATTATTAATAAAGTTATTAAGGGTAAATTTATAATTTATAAGAAACCATGTAAGATAATTTAAAAAAAGGTTAGGATTATATATAAAAAAAAGTTTATTTATATTTATTAATTTAAAATACTTTTTTATAATTTAACCTAGCTTTTTTAAATAATTTAAGTAGTATATTTTACTTTTTAAAGGTAAAAAATAATAAGTATTAGCCCTTAAAGCGCGGGTATATTTTACTAGGCTATTATAAATTTTATTAATTATGCTTATATTTTTCTTTTAAAAAAAAGGGGGGGATTTAAAGTAAAATAATATTAAGGCTTTATATTATATAACCCCTAAATTAAAAAATTTAGTATAGGTATTAAAGGGAGAATACTAGTTAGTTAGTATTTTTAAAGCCACTTTAGGTTATAAGTAATATTATTAAAAAGGTTTTTTTAAAATAGTTCTTCCCATCCTAAATTTATCTTAAAAGGTTAAGAAATAGGGTTATAAAAAATAAAAATATTTTTATAAAAATTTAGTAAAGTTTTAAAGCCTAGTAGTGTATATTTTTACTTTTAAAAATATAATTTTTTTTATTTACTTTACTAGTAATAAAGTGTAAAGTATTTAAATTATATTTATTAATAAATAGCGGGAAAAAAGTACTTAACTTTTTAAAAATAATATTATAGATAATAATAACCTACTTTAATTTAAGATTATAAACTTTATATAAATTTTTAAAGTATTTAATAAAGCGGCCCTTGGCCATGTAAGAATTAATCTTTATTTTATATATTTTTTTAAAAATAAGGTAAAAGTATTTATATTTTAACACGCGCTAATAAAAAATATTAGGTTATATTTTATTAAGCGCTTTATAAGGTGTTTTACTAATAATTTTATAATAAAAATAATTATAAATATAAATAATAGTAAAAACTAGGTAATCCTAAAAAAACTTTAAAAGTTAATTTTTTATTATAATAAATATAACTAGTTTAATAATATAATAATTTTTTACCTTAATAATTAGGTTTAGTATTAAGTAATATTTTAGTGCTAAATTAAAAATAATACTATAGTTTTTATAGTATAACTTAAGTAATTAATATTTTAAAGTATTATTATAGTAAATATATTTTATTTTTAACTTTAGTTATATTTATAGCTAGTTGCGGAGTTAAAGAAATTTTTTAAAAATTTTTTTTTTTTTTATAATAAATATCTAGTAAAACTAAAAGGCCTTATTAATAAATATAATAAAGTATAAGGTACTTATTTACCCATGTATTAATATAGGCCTATAAATATTTATATATATAATATTACCTAGCTAGTAACTAAGATTTCTAGTTAGATTTTACTTTACTAAGAAAAGTGCTATTTTTTTACTAATAATATATAACTTATATTATTTAATTAGTAGGTTTTTATATAGTTTAAGGCTAATAACATGCTAAAAAAATTTTTTAATCTTTTTTTTAAATGCGTGGGCAGCCTATTAATAAGCTAAATATATAGGGATTACCTTATTAAAAACCTTTATTTTAATTATTATTAAACCCTTAAGTAAAATTATACTTTAACTAAGTATAAAGGCATTTACAAGCGTGGTAATTACCTTAAAAAAATATTAATATTTAAATAAAAATAATAATAAGATTTAAGCAAGGTGGTGTATATAACTAAAAATCTATATTATATAAGTTTAATAATAGTGTTAATATTAAATATTATATAAATATTATTATTTATAAGCTATTTAATTAATAATAAATTATAAATTAAGCTAGGCGTGTACTAAATATTCTTTAATAAAAAATTCCTAATTTATTGCGTACTAAACTTATTAGTAACACCTAATATAATATTATTATAGCCTTTAATAAAAAACTTATTATTATTAATTATTTTAACCAGAACTTTAGTATATTTAAATAATATAAAGTTATGCTTAAAGTATATTATATAATAAAAGGCGCTAGAGTTAAGTATCTAACTATTATTAATAGCTAGTTTAATATTTATATAAGTTAATTTAATATAAAGATCTAGCTTATTAATATTAAAATTTAATAATTATATAAACATGGAGTTCGCGTATATAAAGTTAAAATTAATATTAATTATATTAGCACCTAGAAAGGCCTGCAAAGTATTAAGTAAAGGTATTAATAAGGGACCTTAAGTTAATCCCTAAGCTAACTATTATAAAGTACTAATAATAATATTTTTTATTTATATAATATTTATAAAGGCAAAGGCGCCATGGCCTTTTTTACCTTTTTTTTTTATAATATTTAGATTTACTGCCGCGGTCTTAATAGGCGCTAGTACTAGTGCCTTTAAAGTTACCTTTATTTTTTAATTAGGCGTTTACTAAATTTTTAACATAGGTAAAGAAAAAATAACTACTATATAACTAGTAATATATACATTATATAGTACTATAATTCTTAATAAAAATAAAGTTATTATAACTAAAGCAGCTAGTAGCATTAATAATATATTAAGTAATTTTAAATATTTATATTTAATTAAGTTTAAACTATAAAAAAAGTAAATAAATATTATTAATACTTTAATAAAATATTATATATAGCTAAGTAATAAAAGGCTATATATTATATAAGTTAAAAATTACTATAATAAAAAAATACTATATAGCCTATTAATTAAAAGTTTAAATAATTATTAGCTTAGTAATAATATTCCTAAACTTTATAAGAAACTATTTTAATTATTAATTAATATACCTTATTATGTTAAGCGTTTACTAGCTCTTTAAAAAAAAACTAGTATTAAATAAATTATATAGCTTTTATAGGTAGTAAAAAGCTTAAATAGTACTTTAAAAGCTAAAAATTTAATTTATATATTATATATAAAGTATTAATTATAAAAATAATAATAAAAAAAAGTTATACTATGTTTAGCGCCCTTACTTTACTTTTATTTTAATATTTTAAAAATTTAAATATTAATTTAGTTTTTAATAATAAGCTTAATAACTTAATTTTAAGCTATATTATTTTTATTAATATATTTTATAATAATAATAGCTTGCTCTAGCAAATACTTGCAAGAAAAAAAAACTTTTTTAATAATAATAAGCTAAAAATAAGGTAGTTTAAATTAAAGTATAATTTTAAAAAATTTATACTATAAATAATAGTTTTCTTAACTATTAAGTCGTGTAATAACTTTATAAAAATTAAAAATAATAATAATAATATTAGCTATATTATAAGTAAATTTTTACACGGCCTTAACATGTAAAAATAATATAAAAGTTATATAAAATAAGTAATTAAAAAATTTATACTAGGTAGCTAAAAATCCTAATATTATATAAAAATATTTTTAATTTAATAAATATTTAAAGTAAATAAATTTTAAAAAAAGGTAGTAATAAAAAAGTAGTTATATATAAATAAATATAATATTTTAATAAAAGGAGCTACCTAGGGCTTATAACCTTTTAAAAATAAAAGCTTAAAAATTATATTTAGCTAGGCTATAATAGTAAAGCTATACTTGGTATGGCTAACTAAGCTAATAAGCAAGGGCTATAATAGGGCAAGCAGTATACTACGCTCCGACAGACATGATTAGAATGACAGAGTCAAAGTCACAAGTGGATGAAGACATCATAGGCAAGGTTGTCGGCAAAAGCCCGTGAGAGCCTCGTTATCAAACGCGGGGAAGCGAGCCTCAGGCGTCAACTGTGGGATAAGATCACGTGCTGATAGCTCCATCACCGCCCGAAGAGCTTCTCCAAGGTTTCTTCTATCCATTTCCCCCTACAACGAACCGACAAGCTGACCCTTTCCTCATAACCCTGCAGCCGACAGTCCTTGCTCTGTTACATTGCCTCTCATTGAATATCTGTCAATTTCCACGAACCGCCCTTGACCTTCTCCGCTACTGATTCCCAAAATGAACGCCGAATTCCAGACCGCGCTCTCCACTTTTGAAAGCAGACTCAACGCCCTCGTCACAAGCCTAACAACCTCCCCCACCGCGTCAAACGCACCCGCCGCAGCCAAAGACCTCCTGACCGCCGACGACTCCCTCACGACCACGATCGACACGCTCAAGCAACACCAGAACAACTACGCACGGATCCTACAATTACGCGCCGAAGCCCAAAGTCTAGAAGAGAGGGTGAAGGATATTGTTCGCCTGGTCGTACGCTACGAAAAGGACATCCAGGAAACATGCGGTGGTGACAATACCGACAGCGAGTCCGACTACGACTCCGACGAGCTGGACCACGACATGGACGCGCAGGAAACCGCGCCGCAACGGAAACGCAAGGAAGTTGACTACAAACTCCTCCTTGATTTCGCCCGTCGGATAAGCAAATACAATCACGAGGCAGCGGCCGATGCCGCGGCGGGAATGGCAAAGGGGAATCGCGCAATAGCAGGACAGGACACGGAAATGACGGGGACAAATGTCAATGGAAACCAGGACGGAACCCCCGCGGAGCCTGTGGCCGCCGTCACAAAGGACGCTACATCGTGGCTGGATGAGTCGGCGAACATGACGCGGCAGGTGTATATGCTGCCGTATCCGATGGAAGACAGGATCCGGCTTGGGCTCATGGGACAGATACAGCTTGCGGCGGCGGAGGGGAGGCCTGGGTTTGATCCGGATCAGGAGGTTGAGCGGCTTATTCGGGAGGCGGAAGGCGTTGGAATGGCGGAGCCTGTAGCGCCGCCGCCGGTTGGGGAGGAGACGGTACGGGTCAACGAGGCGGCCAAGGCGGCTGCTCATGCGGGCTCTGCGGCGGCGAGTGGGATGGGAATGGCGCCGGTGCAGCCTAAGCCAAAGGCAACGCTGGATCTCGACCTGTATGATCCGGATGAGGATGACGATTGATCTGATACACTTTCTCCTCGGTCACCAGCCTTCCAACGTGACAATCTCTTTCGCCTGACGTTGTGTCCTCTTAAAAGATACTACTCTTATGTCCACCTTAATGCAACAACTAGCTCCTACTTCTTACGGTCTACCTATGGCACTGGAAAGCCTCTCAAACAAAATCAATGCATTCTAGAATTAAAATATCAAAAACAACAAAATCAATCAACGTGGTTGCTGGATCGCCCAGAACTCATCATACGAACCCCGCCGCCGGGCATAATCTTTGTCGTTAAACTTGGATCGTGCGGTGCGCGGGGGAATCTCAAGCTGGAACTTGCGCTTTTCCAAGCACTTGGACCCAGTCGCCTTTGCTTCGAGCTCCTTGATATACTCACGGGCCTTTTCTAGCTCAGCGTGGTCTTGTACCCACTGCTCTTGACGCTTTTCGAAGTCCGCAATGCGCTCGCGGGAAACTGACAGTTCGGCGCAATCCTTCTTCCACTCGTCTTGCAAGTCTTCAATGATCGCAATACGGTCGTGACAAGTTCGCAGTTCCCGGTTTTCCTCTTCGAGGTCCTGGATATGCTGCCTGAATTCCTTGAGCTCAGCGTAATCTTTCTTCCGCTGCTGGCTCCGTTCTTCAAAGTTCGCGATGCGCTCGTTACTCACCCACAGATCCCGCTTGAGCTGCTTCATATCCACCCGGGCTTCCATCAGCTCGGCGTGGTCTTTCTTCCACTGCCCCTGCACTATCTCAAAGTACTCGATACGTTCGCGGCAAGCTGACAGGTCGATGTGTTCCTGCTGCAACTGCTCCTTCATGTGCTTGAGATCCTGGTCAGCGGTGATAACCTGGTCGTAGTACATGTCAGCCTCAGCTTCGACGCGTTTGACCTTCTTCTCGAGTCGCGCGATACGCTCGCGGCAAGCCAACAGATCGGTGTGTTCCTGCTGCAACTGCTCCTCCATGTCCTTGACATCCAGGTCAGCGTTTTTAACATGGTCGCGGTACATCTCAGCCTCAGCTTCAGCCCATTTAAGCTTCTTCTCAAGCAGTGTGATCTCGTCATCCGCATGCCTGGTCTCATGTGACTTACTGAATAGTTTGAGTTCTGCCTCCCAGGCTGCACTCCTTTCCTTGATTGCGGGAGGGTCCAGAAGTGCAGCGCTCTCGGCTTGGCTATTTTTGTACCCCTGGATATTGGAGTTGATGCCCTTACCTTCCCAGAACGGCCCCCTGCCTTCAATGCACACTTCATCGTCTACTGAGGTTTCCCAGGTGATCGGTGCTAGCTTTGGAGGGGCCATGTAGCCGTTGGCCTGATGCCATGAGAGCGATCGCTTGCGAAATACAGAGTCGAACATGCTGAGGTTCCGTGGCTGGAAAGGCATGGCTGCCTGGCGCTGGGCCGTCGATTGAGGCGCCACTGGCAATGCGGGCAGTGGTTTGTTTGGCGCGGCGAGGGAAGGCTCCGAGCGTGGCGGCTCCGAGACGAGCTGCACGTGGCTCTTTGATTCAAACGTTCGAGGCGGCTCCGAGACGAAGCGCACGTGGGTCTTTGATTCGTACCAGATCTCGTCGACGTCGTCGATCTCCATGAGACGCTCTAGGCGGTCTCCGTCTAAGAAGCTGTCAGCAAACGTGGATGCTGATTCGGGCTCGTCGGAGATGGGTTCCGGTTCGCAAAGATCGAACCAGTCGTCTGCTGTGCGGTCAGCGTCAGCTGTATCCCTGTCCTTGGGACTATCTTCCGATACCTGCGGGAAGAAGCTCAGGAAGGATTGCATGATGTATTTGTTCATGAGAGTGGCGAGGACTCCCTCGAGGACGGCTAGGCGTTGGATGAACAGGAGGAACAAGCGGCCGGTGGTGACTTGATTCATTGCTGCTTGGCTTGAGGAAGCGATGGTTGGAGATGGGTTGCGTGGTAATCTGGTGATATTTTGACTTGGTTGGGTTCGTTGTGTTTGGGGGAATGGAAGGCCGGAAAAGTCGAGTGCCCCGAGGGCTTTTATGTCTGCGCTGCATAGAATGAAAGTGACGGGGCTTTGTATCTCATTAGGCTTCGTGTTCAATCAATCCATTACCTCGCTGGCTTCCTTCTTTGGTCGAGGTCAAAGGGCAGGAGAACAAGGCCGTCATTGTGTTTGTCCACGTTCTTTGCCGTCCTGTGTGCCATTCCGTGGAACCAAGCTGGTTCTGGATATCAAGAAAGGGAATGAATGAGTCTCGTAAAGAGAAAGGAAGAATTGCAGAGAAAGGAAGACTGAATGAGGCGTTCAGGGAGAAAGGAAAGCCTGGAGATCGGAAAGGGGAATGAATGAGTCTTTGAAGAACAAGGCTGGAGATTGTGAAAGAGAGTGAACGAGTCTGTAGGAGACAATCAGGCAAGAAGCTGCTCTCGTACGTTCATGAGACTCGGTGGTGTTGCTAAGCGACTGACTCACTTCTCGCGGAATCCTCCTCCGTCAACCTTACGCAACACACCCCCCTCCCCCTTCTCCTCCCACCGACCGCCACCATGGCTTCCTCCCGGTTCAAGAGCCTCAGAGGCATCCGAGACTACGACATCAAAGGCTCTTTAAGAAGAGCGCTTACCATTAGTACCAAAGAAAACCCCCCAACCGAGAACGACATGAAGGAAGCCGAGACAGACGTCAAGGAAGCCCGCCTGGTTGCTCGCAAACACCTGCTGGCCCTCTTCGACAAACACAAACAAAGACACGCCATCGCACTCGACCCAACTGATGAGAGCAGCGGAATAACCCTCGAAGTCCTCGACCTGTCGGAACCCCTCCCCACATCCGCAGCGCACGCCATGGTGTTTTTCGAGCCGTTGAAACAAGAGTTCATGCGCGCCCACCCTGTTGACCCTTCGGAACCATTTACCCAGGAAGATTATGAGAGTGAGCAGGCAACATTCAAAAGGATCGCAGCCGATCTCAACCGGACCGACATTGCCGAGCTTTTCTGTCCTGACTTTTACGCTGCCTTTGACGTGTACAAGCGCGCTGGGCTTGAGGGGTCTATCGCTGACCACCACAATTGGATTGAATGGTATATGCGAACTTCCGCCTCGTGATTGCTTTCCCCTGTTTCTGGCTTTGGATACTAATTTGGCGGCCTGCTGTAGTGATATCAACAACCACTTCCTCCGCGACGAATTCTGGGTATCCAGTGTCAACCCGCTGAAACCGGCATCGATGGAAATCGGCAACGCATGGCACCAAGGTGACGCTAATTTGCCGCACGCGGTCTTTACGATGTCACATTCTGGAGAGCCGACGGCCATGCTCTTGCGTACCGAGATCTTAACCATCATTGGGGTCATGCTTTCCCGTCTCATAAGCAATCGCCTGCGCGCCTACACTACTATTCCAGTATGTCCAACTTATGCTCCGTGCATTTCTCATGTCACTTGCTAACGTTGATATTTGCTAGATCATTGCTGTGTCTTGCTTCAACCGGTACCAAGCGCGCATTCTTTATGCCTACATGTCTGACAAGGGCCTCGTGATAGCCAAGAGTCTCCTGCAGGACTTTAGCACGCAGCAAAAACGTGACTTGAACTTTCCAATCTTCCTTTCCTGGATGGGGAGTATTCCAGTGGGCGACACAAAGGGGTTGCAATTTGGCCTCGATAATAAGGAGAACGTGCCCCTTCCCATCCGCCAACGGCAGTCCATCTTGACAACGAGCTGGTCATCTGCAAAGTCTGAGGCCTTTCAACCCCCGTATGAAGCTGAGGGTCGACAGTCTGGATCCTTCATCCCGCTACCTCCATTTGAAGACCTCGAGTCCCGTTTATTTCCGCCTGGTGAACCTATCCTTGGCCCAAAGCAAACGACTAGCCCATATGACTCAGGTTATGGATCTAAGAGTGGGAGTAGCAGCAGCAGTGGAAGAGGCAGCGGACGTCGTAGGGGGACAAGTGGCAGCGGCAGCGGCAGCAGCAGTGGCAGCAGCGGACGTCGTAGGGGAGCAAGTTGGAGCGGCAGCGAGGGTGCGAATGCAGATGAGCAGCAAGGCCAGGCAGCGCAGGAACCAGAACTAGAGACCGTTGGGGAGGATCCGCGAGAACAGGCGGCATAAAGTGGACAGATCTTGTTTCAAGTTACAGATTCCACTGTCTCTCATCTTTTGTGGTTTCTTTTTCACTTTTCAGGGAATTTCAGGCTCTAATAATCTAATGAAACAATCAATGACAAAGGAAATAGATGAAGACGATGCAGATCCGCTGTAGAGTGTATCTCGAGGTATCTGGTGTTACCCTAGTACCCCCCTCCTGGCTGGGTTGTTTACAAGCTTGAAGCTCAACATTGGCTGATGTATATCGCGAGTGTTCATCCGGGCACTGACTCCATGTAGACGAGGGTCCTCCAAGAACCCTCCGGCTCCGGCCGAGTAGACTGCTTTCCCAATCGGCGCAGAATGGACTCCATCATTTGTGCTCAATGCCTGCTCCTGGAAAACCCCTCAACGCAGGAGCCCTAAACCCCAACCCCACCTGAAGCCTTTCAGAATTATCGCTAAAACACAGAGGCTGACGAGGCACAGAATTCCCTGTTTGGACCGTGACCGGAATCACCACTTTCCACTCCCACCTTGCAGACCCTCAAGCCACCACCATGTCGAACCCGGATGAAACCATAATCGATCCCGCGCCGCTCAAAGTGCCTGGTTCTATAATCCCGCATCGCCTCTCGCAATTGAAGCATCTCTTGCGCGTGGCAGAGCTCACCACCCACAGCCTTCAGGACGTGGACGAAGGCTCGTTAGCCTCGCGCTCAGGGATCAACGGAAAACAATACCTTCTCCTCCGTATCATCCACCGTCAGTTTTTGACCCGGGAGAGGTTCATTTCTGACCTGGAGGAGTTTGGCCTGGATGGATTTCGGGACGCGTCCGAAGTCCTGAAGAGTGAACAGGCAGCGGACTGGCGGGGATATCTCGAACTACTGCGAGAGGCAAAGTCCGTGGATGATGCTAGTCGCGAGTTGACGGGTGGGTTTCGAGGCGTGAGAGAAGTACAGGAGGATGTGGTGCTCAAGGGTAGTAACACAATGCTGCGGAGCGTTGAAATCGACGAGCCGGCCAAGGCCAAGAAGGAGTCGCGCTGGTCGTCTCTTTGCAGACGAGGAAAGGACAGCAAGGCGGCGCCATCAGCAGTTGCGGAAGGATACCTCACTGACAGCGACAACGAGAATGAGCGCGGGTCGCTTTCCGACATTGGGTCGATCTACGAGGATGATGGTGCCAGGCTCCCGGACCTTCCGCCAAAAGCAGCACTCATCTTGCTCCTGAAGGAACTCGGGAGCCTGGCTGGCGTGAAGGGAATCCAGTCCACATTCAGCAAGACCACCTTCACCGCGCAGTTTGACAATACAAGCTACACTGCCATCACGGCCGGCGGTATACGGACCAAAGCCCGCCAGCTCCTCCTGGGCATCTTCGATGCCAAGGCCCGTCTACGTTCCAAAGGCAAAGCCAAGATCGCGATGCAAGAAGGGTCAGAACTGGCTGCCTGGTGGTTAAACTGCCCAGGCGAGCTCCCGGTCTTCCGCGGCCAGTAAGTCATTGATCTCCGCCCTGGCTGTTTTCTGTTATGTGACTGACATGCATCTCTTACCTAGTCGCCTTCTGATATCCCAGGACCAGCATCAAGTCTGGCTGACCATGGCCAATATCGGGGCTGACTATATCCAATACTTGCAGTCCGGACGAATAACGGCCGAGTCGTACCTGCGCATGCGGACATATGGGCCCTGGAATACACTCATTCCGGGCCATATGGAGCAGCTGGGCGACCTGATCATCCGCATCCTGAAACATGTCCATGCCAGCACCGAGGCTATCTAGTTGTCTGGCTTGCCTTCGTCTTTGTCCTAGCTTTCTTTATCCCCCTTTGTCAGAGTATTTCAAGCGCCCATAGCGAATATCACCTGTTTCTTTTTGTTGCCCGTGGTTTCGCACTTCGTAGTTGTTCGATGGAAAATCGCCTACGGTATCCTGGCCATGTCCTCCAGGTCGAGTCGTAACACTCCGTCTGCCTCACTGTTCAGAGCTCCGCGGACCTCAACTCCCCAAATTCGCGCACTTGCACCTACCCGCTTGCCTATTGCGAATCACGCGAGATTTCAACTTGCCAGCTTCTTCGGCGGTTTATCGGCAATTCGGACATGGCCGAGATGGACACCAAAGCAGTCCGCCGCCACCTCATCGACATCGTCGCCAGCGCAACGGGACGAGGTTGAGCAACAGGAATTATGCGTCCTCGGCAAAAATCATGCCATGGAGCACTAAGTTTATCAGAAGCAGGACAAGAGTCGGTTGTTTAAAACTTGCGACACCTTCTTGGAAGACCACCTGGTGGCGACGACGACACGAAAGAAATACCGCCTTTGTACGGGATCCGAGCGCACTTCCTCTGTCAAGTTCTCTTTGTCCAGTTTTTTCAGTGAGGGGGAATCGGTTCAGAGAGCTGTTGAGAGGTCCTCGCCGGTGCTGTGGGTGGTATGGCCTGTCTCCCTCCTGTGTCCCTCTCAAACAGTGTTACTATGGTAACCTGCGCGCAATCGACATCGACAAAAGGTTCCTCCGCGACAAACATACAGCCTTCATAGACGAAGTTGGGGAAGCGGGCTTGCCCGTACCAGCGCCTTGAAATTGAAGACGCATGGCATATCCCCGGTGCCGAAAAGCCGCATGCTCTCTTCGCAGTCTTTCCCTGAGTCAATCTCACCATGAACCTCCTCCGCACCGAGGTACTGGCCATGATTGGCGTGATGTTGACCAGGCTCAGCCTCTCTTCTTTACGTTCCCACAATACCCTTCTATGGTCTCCCTGCTTTCTACTTCACTTACCTTGCCCTGATGCTGACTCACGCCTTAGGCCATGGCCATATGCTTCTCCAACATGTTTCAAGCCCGCCTCATTCATACTCTATGTCCGATGACAGTCTGGCCTTGACCATACGCCCCTCTATCCCTTCAACGTCCTCCAAGCACGCGACGCAAACTTCCCATCTTCGTGTCCTGGATAGCGAGCAATGCCAAGGCACGAGGTTTGGCCTAAGGATAAGGAGAATACAGAGCGTTTCCAAAGCCAAGGGCTGGAGAGATGGAGGTAGGATACGATGTCGCGCTGGAAGGAAAAATACGTTGGGCTTAAGTAGGTGTTGAACGCGATTCGGCCTCCACGGGAGTAATGTCTTTCTTTGCTGTTTGTCCAGTTCTTTGTAGTTAACTAATACTGCCCCAGGATGGAACTGGAGGATGTGAGTTTCTCGCCGACCCCGTTTAACCGGTCGCAAGCGCGCAGAAAATACTTAGTACTGGGTCCGAATGCAAGAACAGACCAGTTAGACAAGTTCAATTCAAAGAGTGCCAATCACCCTGCGGTTGAAGCGCTCTAACCTTGACCTTGACGAGGAGCAGAGGATGAAGAATCCAAGCAATGGGCAATGCCCCAATCAATGGATTTCATATCAGCTCGTTGAGTTTCTACTGACCATGGCCGTGAACAGAGCTCTCCTTTCAAAGCATCCCTATTGTCACAACTATATTGACCTGCGATCTCTTTATTAGATTCTACAGCTTGTCTGCGTAGCTTTGCACACCTTTGATCTGCCCACGCCACTTGGCTTTTGTTGATTACTGCTTTGACATAACCTTTGGCTAAAGTATATGGGCAAAGACGACGCATTGATAAAAGCAAAGACGGATTCCTTCAGGGACAGTGGACAGGCCAGCTCTTTGTGCACAATCCTGAGCACTCCACATAGACACCAAGGTCTTTCAACTTTGACAAAGCCCGCTGTCCAGCACAAAGAAGATGGCGGAGAACGCAAAGAAGATAAGGGCATTTGGCACACGTCGTCAAGCTCTTAGTATTGTTCTGGAAACATATATAACCTCCCCTGAGTCCTCTCTATCGAACCCATCTCCCACCATCAGAGAACCTCAGGCACAGCTCCAGTTCCTACGAGCCTCCACCCTGATCTTTCCACCATACAGGAAGCACCATTCCCCTACGTCCTTTCCACTCCAACAGCAACATGCAGCCATTTCGCACCCCCCAGTGCCCCGTGTGCAGAAAACCCGCCACTCAATCCTGCCTCGCAAACGGCCACTTCCACCGCCAGAACCCCAGCATGATGGGGCCCCCAATGGGCGCGCCCCGTTATCCCCCCTCCCAGGCCCGCGGCTACCATCCCGCCCAATCCAGCCCGTTCCAAGGCGCAGCACGACCGAACCAGTCACCCCCGCTCAGCCAGGCCGGCACCTACATTCCCGGTTACAACCGCCGCATCCCAAACGGCGGCACCGTCGAGATCGCAGGGCACTGGCGTGGAAACGGGCAGTCGCTGGGGCCGCAACGCTCGCAGGCGCAGGCGCAGCCGCAGGCACAGGCTCGAGCACAGGCGCAGTCACGCGCTGAGCTAGAGGCCGCGAACGCGCGCATCAAGCAGCTCCAGCGCAGGGTGCAGCTGAACAACATCCAGGCCACCGGGTACATTAACCACATGAGGCAGCAGATGTCGAGCAACAATGAGGCGTCGCAGAGGGAGATTCAGTCGCTGACGCATAGGCTCTGGGAGAACAATTCGCGGGCGGAGGCGGAGATTCAGGAGTTGCGCAGGCGGAATGAGGAGTTGGAGAGGAAGGTTCGGTTTGGTTGAAAGGTCGATTGAAAGTCTGAGATCGTGGACTATCCTGTCGCTTTTGTGTTCTTTGGGTTTCTGGTCTAGTTGAATCGAATTCTTTTAGTTGAATCAAATTGTGTTAGTTATGCATTCTCTGTTCAAGTGCGTAGGGATCGAGACGTAGACTTTAAGAAGAGACCAGTGGGCGATAAATTACTGTAGATGCGAAGTTGGGTATGATGGACCTGGGATTGAACCATCTGATGCGTAAAAAGGTGCGTTGAGATGGGTGAGTTTGAGACTTTCAAAGTGCGAGTGACGACTCCCAGCCTCGTGCGTTTGCCGGCAAACAACCACCACACCCGAAGCGCCTTGAGAAAGTCGAGCCATGAGAAAACCATGGCAGAACGCGACAGAATCGATAATCATTGCGATCACCTTACCTTCAGGCCTCGACTTCCCCTTCGACCTCAAACAGAAAGGGTGACTTGGCCAACACAACAACACAAGACCACCGCAAAGGCCACCGGACTCTGAGTAAAGAGAGCTGCGCCGTCCAAGTCAAATCATTACACCCATGAGCAGCCTCAAACTGCCATACGCGGGCTGCGAGTTCGGCTCTGTCCTTTGCGCGAGTCCTCAAACCGAGTCAATGATGGGCTGCGGATTCACCGATGCCTTCACCCCGAATAAGACGGGCAGGACAACAGTGAATGCGAGAATGGAGCCCCCCTCGAACGACCTCAGAGTTCAGCCGTTTCTTGAAACGTTCTCCAACCTCAGCAACCTTCCCTACGCTTACCTTCCCCCACACCCGCTGGAGTCTTGTCTAGCCGGGCGCAACACAGGAGCATCTCAGTATCTCTTCGTCGACCTTGAGCTGGACTCAGGAGCCGCACGGCCTTACCTTGTTCATGTAAGTTGACTCTGTCTACGTGCCCCTTCCTCATTATGGGATTTTGAAAATCCAAGCTGACCCCTTGGCGCTGGCCAGCACCCATCTACCATCCCACGGTACCCACTGCAGCGCAGTCACGAATTCGAGACCCCTCCACTACGCAACTCAGCGCCTGCAGCAGCGATCCTGCCGACAATGGAACCTTACAACGCGAGCTCGAATCGCGATCTCTCCACCTTTCGATCCGAGTTTCCCACTCCAAGCCCCGTCCTTGAGCATGCCACTCCGCGCCCACGCGCATTCACCGTCCCCGCTACCAATCAACCTGGTTTCTCTCTTGCGAACTGCCACACCGACGGCGACGGCGAAGTCAAGATACCGGATTCGAAATTGAAGGATCTGGGAGGAGCACGCGGGGAGAACGCTCAGACACGCATGCACGAACCAACCACTTCGCGGCAATATGAGCAGGAAAACTACAAATTCATAAAGCCCGAGGACAACTGGGAGCGCGGCGAAGACCCCAAACAAGAGCCGGCACAGATGGAAACCTACATCCAGACCCTCGAGGCCCAACTCGAGAGACTGCAATCCCAACACGCGGCCGAAGTACTCGAGCTACAGAAGGAAGTCTGCGAGCTCCGAAAGAAGCTCTCGGCCTGGAGGAGATCCAAGCTCTGGCACAAGGGGATGCCGGTGTCCGAGCGAAACATGATCGGCACCCTCCGCGCGAGTCTCACGCGGTCCGCAGCGGCGAATGATAAACTGACGCGCGAGAACGCGGCGTTGAAGGCTGAGATCGCGCAGTGGGTCAAGGTCAATGGGGTTCCTGAGGAGTTGAGGGAGAAGGCGCTTCAGGCGCATGTGAACCACCTGCAGGGCGTGAATAGGTCGATGGATGCGAAGTGGGAGAAGAGGTTGGAGGAGGCGAGGAAGCAGATGGGAAGCCAGGAAGAAGTCGCGTTCAACGGAAAAAGAAATGAGCAGGATATGAACGGTTTGGCTCAAGTTCAAACCGAGGTCGATGCAGCTGGGGCGGCAGACTTGAAGACGGACCCCGACGCCAAAACAGCCGCAGCCTCAGATAAAGACGTCGATATGGGGTCCGACACTGCAGAGGAGCCGTCGCAGGAGATGGTTTACGTCCCAGGCCATCTCAGAAAACTGTCCAGCGGCGAGATCGTTGACATCCCTGGATTCTGGCGTCCTCGCCGCAAAATCAAGACTGCCCAGCAGGATTGAGATGAGAGCGAGGCACACTAGCAGCGCAATACAGGCTAGGGAGATAGAACCCGCGAGGTCTGCAGGCAGCTGCGAGGAATGACGAGACGACGGTGGATATTTGCCTTGTCTCACTTCGCACCAGCCGGGCAACTGGAACAACCTGAATGCACGAATGCATTGAGAGTGAGCTTACGAGGAACGACGGCGGCGGTAGAAGGGAGGAGGAGAGCGTACATAGCTATCAGCATATTTTGAGATTGGATACAAGGAAACAGGTCTTTTGGATTTGTGTTACGCTATCTAGGTAGTGCTCTTTCCTCGGAAGAGGGTGCCTGGCGCTTGAAGCCTTGGATAATAACTTTGGATCAACAAATTAAGCTTGATTTCTTCCTGATCGTACCCAAAGGGTTTATAGATTCTTTCCTCATAGTGTAGTATAGTACCATAATCTGTAGGCCCAACAGTAGGTAGGTGCTCCTGGGAGCTAAATTCCCAGACAAGGGAATTTAGCAAGCAGATCTAAAGAATGAGAGTTGACAGAGGCCCATACCATAGCTGGAGCGACTGGCCAGACAGCCCATACAGTGAATGTTCACTTCACCCCCGCAGACGAAGATATACACCCGTCGTGGTGAATGAGATGGTGAACACAAGCTCCCCTTCACCCCCTCAGCACTCCTGAACTGCAGAGAATGCAACATAAATCTCCAGTTCAGACCTCTCTCTCCTTCTTCCATCCCACAACTACCTCATCTCTCTCATACCTATCCCATACCTACAACCTATCCAAAGACTAAAAAGAATTGTACGTCAACATCGTACACAAAAAGCCCTTTAGCCAATCGTCAACCATGGATCCAAACAAGAAAACCCACGAGAACACTGTCATCAATCTGACAAACGATGATGGTGTCGACTTGCCAAACCCCCAAAACGCACAGTCCAAACGCGCAAACAATGGAGCTGGCCCAGGCACTCTCGCCATGATCCCCGAGCCTCATCCTCAAATCCGCCAACCAGCTGTGTACTTCAATGCCGATGCGCCCGTCAATACCCTCATGCCAAACGCGGGACAACAACGTCTTCCAATCGAAGTCCGCGAACGCTGGATGGAAGCTTACCAGCTGTCGGGGGCTAGAATGATGCGCCCGCAGCCGAACCAACCTGGAGCCCACGGACTGCCAACCACTTCGGATGCCTGGGTGCGCAATAAACTCGCAGTCATCGAGAACTATCTGCAGATCGCACAAGTTCGAGCCCAGGCGCGGCCTGCAATGAACCCTGTTGAGAATCGGCTGCAGACAACGGCGCCTTTGCAGGGAATTGTGACACCTGCAGTTGCACAAGCTTCACAGGGAATATCAGGCCAGCTTAGCACCGCGAACCCAAACCCAAACCCAAACGTGCGAGGCAGCCGAGTTCAGCACCTGGTCTCCCCGGCGCACCGCGGACCTCGACCTCAACCTCAACCATCTCCACGAGGAATACCAGGTGGGCTTCGACCCAGTCCCGTCCAGCAACAAGGCGCCCCGGCGCACCAGCTCCCTCGATCAGGACCTTTCCGACCTACACCACTCCGACGCCTTGCTCCTGCACCTGCACCTGCACCTCGAGCCCCAGTTCCAGGTCCAGGTCCAGGTCCAGCTCCAGCTCCAGCACCAACTATGCCCGAAACCGAGCGCGCAACGCTCCAAGCCCAAATCTCCACGCTGCACGAAACCATCATAAAAATAATGACCTGCAGCCGTCGCAAAGTAGTCGAGCTGCACGGCGACCTCACGCGCAAAGAAGCGGAGATAGCACGCACAACAACCGACCTGGACAACACGATCAAGGCGCTGCGCTCGGACATAGCAGACGGGAAGAAAACCCAGGCTGAGCTGCGCCGGCTTCTGCGCGTCGAGAAAAAGCAGAACCGCAGACTCGATCGCCGCATCCTGTTTCATCGGAATGTCAACAAGCGTGCGGCGGAGAGACTCGACGCCGTGAGAAAGCAGGTTGCGCAGCTTAGTCGCGCTGTGGAGTTGCCGCAGGGTGAGCGGGAGAAGGCGCTGCGGGCGCATACGGAGAACTTGGAGCATTTGAATCGGTTGCTTGCGTTGAAGGTGCAGAAGGAGATGGCTGAGATGGCTGAGATGGAGGTTCAGGAAGGCGATGGAGTGGACATGGATGAAAATGAAGATGGAGATGGGTTCGAAATGGAAGACAATGTCAACACAGTCCCAAGCCCGGCGGGAGGTGACGAAGTGGCCAACACCGACGCCCCCGGACCCTCTGGGGATCCCAACCCTTCATCAAGCCCGATCTCAGCTAACGACGATAACGACACTGAGTCCGAGGCAGATCCTACTCCCACGACCACCACAGAACAACCCGGCCAGTTCCACTCAGAAGAAGGGCTCTGGACGCGCGGCCATTTCCGAAAGAATCGGGATGGCGCTCCCACATATGTCAAGGGGTCCTGGCGCCGGCTTGGACGGGTCAATCGCAAGAAGCAGAAAATCAGTTCGATTCGGGGCAAAGTGGTCGTGGGGTCGAGACCGGAGCCGATCCGTGCTGGAATTACGATAGCGGATGCCGTTGATGAGGCCGAGGGGAACGATGGTGAGGCTCAGAACGGTCAGAATGAAGCTACGCCTGAGGAGTCAAATAACCTGGAAGTTGAAGCAGCGGCCGAGTGATCCACTGGAAGGCTGAGTGATGACAGCGAGGTTTTGAAGTCAGATTGGAAAGAACTATGGTATGAGCTTGGAGGACATTTTGAACGTGTTTATTTCTTATGTATGCAGCCAGATGGTGACAATAGCCATCTACTTCTTTCTTCTTTTTCTACAAGATGTACTTGTTTGGTATGTTTCTGGAAGTATTGGTGGTTATGTACTGTGTTCCTAAGAAACAGATATTATCCACCATTAGGTATGTACCTCTAAACAGAGCTTGATCCAATTAGTAAATGTGGAATTACTTCCCACAATACACAGACAGTATTTCCAGCGTAGAAAAGCCTTTTGGTCAAGGTGGGAGTAAATAGAAGGGCATGAGGCTGGCAGACAGACTGGACTCACTGTCCTGTTTCCTCGCCTTTACCTGGAAGTGAATCCTCATTCACCACAGCACGATCCCATCGACTACATAATCAGCCAGAAGGAAAATTATAAATACCTTGATCTTCCCTGGGCTTGGGTCAATTTCTGCATCCCCTCAACTTCCGTTCCCTTGTCAGTCCAGTTTGTCTTTTCACTTCCTCTTCTCATCACCTTTCCAGTTCATCCACCAACGTTTAACTCCCAACACTTGCATTTCGCACCACATTCAAATCCTGTCTTCTTGTACCATATCCAGTCAACCTGATCCTCTCAATCGCCATGAACAATCAACAGGGCAGCCAGGACCCCCGCATCCCCCACGGGGCCCCGTCCGCCCACGCACCCTTCCACCCATCTCCGCTCCAAGCCGTCCATACCAACTTGGATGCGTCCGCAGGCAATGCCAGCAATAGGTAGTGTTCTCGCCGACATTCAGTCTTCCAAGATCGCTAACAAACATAGCCATCTCCCCGCGCCGTCGACCATCCCTCCCTCGACCTCGACCATAGCTGACGCCAACATCACCCTCCTCCGCCAGCGCCTCGCAGCAGCCACGGCCGAGTACCAGATCCTCGCGCTCAACTCGCCAGACAAGCTCCGCGCCTATGCCAAGGTCCTCAAGGCCAAGCTCGCCCTGACAGACGCCGAGCACGCAAAAACACTCAGCGACCTCAAGATCGAAAACCAAGACCTGGACTTCGAGCTCCAACTCGCGCTGCACGTCACCCCAGCGAACATGCGCAAACTCGTCCAACGCCTCGCGGAAGTTACACGCGAGCGGAACCGACTGGCAAGGGAACTGGCCTTTTCCGAGTATGCGCAGCCTCTGCCCCCGAACGCCATGATCACGAACCTGCGTCGGCAAATCGAGGAGCTGACCGAAAGGCTGGACGACGCGCTGTTCATGCACGATATGAATCGTAGCTTCTACGCCCTGCGGAATCGAGAGGCGACCATGGCGCGCCGCGCCTACCTGGCTCAGATCGCGCGCTTCAGGGAGATCGCGGCCTTGCCTGTGGCTGCGGGGTGGGAGGCCTTTGGAGCCCAGATCCGGTACCTGGATTCGATCAAGGGGCAGGGTGTTGGGCTGGAGATCGCGGAGGAGGAGTTGGATGCGCAGCGGCGTGTTCAGGAGGAGGGGATCGTGCAGCGTCTTTTGATGGATAGAGCCCGGGGGCAGGGAGGGATTTAGAGAGGCCTTCTTTGCTATCGTGTGTTTGAGAATCTTTGTCAGAGGTCGGAGGTGTTCTTTTGCTTTGGTGCTGGGGATCGGGATACCTCGACAAAGGTTGGAGTGAGAATCACCATGTCTTTCGAATGTGTTTTCTATGTTTGGGTTTCGTTATGTGGGATCATTTCTTTGGTTGCTTTTTCTTTCTTCTTAGTTATCTCCTTTTCTTGTCGCTCTCGTGTCTTTTCTGTCGTTTTTCTTATGTCAGGCGTTTGGCGTTGTCGGTCTATGGTTACTACGATAATGCGGTCCATCTTCGAAATAATGCTACTAATCTCGAGTTTAAGGATAGTAGAGTAGGTATCCGAATGAGTCCACTTACCGTATGCAAAGCCTGGAAATCGGCGGAGCCATAATCATATCCCTTTCAACGCGCCAGAGCCACGTATGCCAAATGACTTCTCCGGTCCCGGCATCCTACCTAAACTTGAGTTCAGATAGACGGAGGTCCATACGCGATCTTGTGGCTGGGGAAGTTTTCGGTCCGATCACTCTCTGCATCTTGCGTCTTGAGCAAACATATATCGTGAACTCTATCAAACGGCCAAACCAGAAAGACGCCCTGAGATATCTCGTACACCTCACCGGCCTGCTACCCGTCTAGGAAAGAAAGAGCTGGAAATGCATTCCACGATCGTCCCCATGTGAGATACCACGAGGCCTTTGGCTTGGGACGCAATACCGCTCTGGCACAGACTGCGAAGGGTCGACCGGGTTCGTCGAGGGACTGCAGAGCCCACGGTTTGAAAGACTTTGAAAGGCATTCGCCCTCAGTTGTAAAACTGGTTAGAAAGCCAGCCCTCTTTGGCTGCTAGTCGAATTCCCTTGCACTTTGAACGCACCTTCGGCGTCCTGAACATAAGGGTACCTATGGTAGGAGCTGCAAGCGACAAAAGGGTAAACCACCTTGTTGATTGGTTCGACAAGCCTACCTCGCAGTCGAAGGTACCTGGATGCAGTGAGGCCGTTTGTGAGCTACTCTCGAAAGGGGAAGATATCGGAATGGGGCAAAGTAGAGTCCCGTCTGGCGAACGAGTATTCCGTTGGGAACGGCAGATCCAACCATGGCCCGTGGAAACTACAAGCGGGGATGCTCTATCCATTTCATCGGTCGGTAATGTGTATATACAAGAAAATCATGCCTTTGACGCAGCCCTCTATACTCAGGACCCACTCTCAGCTAGCCATGGATATCGGATACGATCCTCAAGGAACACGCAATTGATGATTGAGCTTAGAAGACTAGCTCGAACCTGCGGAACAGGCAATGGATGAACAAGCAACTCCAAAAGTCGCTAAGATGGCTGGACGCAGCCTTAGGGAACCTACCATAGCTGTACTGCCCTTTCAACCGCAGCATTGTGTACCTAACCAAGCCCGAAGCTGATTTTCATCAAAGAAGCATCTGGCCAACTGCAGCCAGCCGAAGCGACACTGCATGATCCTTTCTTCGCTCTCATGGCCGGCCCCGGCGAGATCCATCTTCGAGGTCTGCTCCGCATGCCCCCTTTGTTCATCTCATTCAACTATGGCAGAAAGCTGAATGTCGCTTTCAAAAAGGTTAAGGTGAAACAAATAATGTTTCCGATTTCATTCAGAAAGCTAAGCTGAAACCTGGAAGCAGCCCCTGGAGTTGATAGAATGCTTTGTACCGCAACAAAGCTTCTTTATCACCAACAATGCGAAGGGATCAGGATGCGAACAAACAGACCTTGAAGAAAAAATGAGGTCCAATCCATTCTTTGATTGTATCTTCAAAGAAATGAAAGACCTGACAGGACGAAGACACGAAGGCACAAAGCTCCGAAACCAGCATAAATAGTCCCGAGTCCACGGCCTCGAGAGAACCATCACCAGCAATCAGAGCAACGCAATCATCCGATTGACATCAACATAACCTACAGCTTCAAGCTAAGCAGTTCCTGTTAAGTTATTCAAAATTTCTAGCTCACAGAAACTGACAATGTCTCATAACCTTACCCCCCAGCAGGGCGCTTGCAACTGCGCCCCAATCGACCTGACCCTTGATGAGTCCCCATCCAAAGTCATCGACTTGACCACAGGCGACACCCGCGAAGAGCCCATGGATCTGACCGAAGACGGCCCCATCGAGCCAACCCAGCAGGAAGCAACCATGTCCGGCGCAATCCCAGCCGGCGAGCCCATCCCCGTGATCGACACCCCAGGTCCACACAACGACCAAGCAACCGCGGGAAATAGCGTCGAGCCCGAACCAGCCGGAGAAACACCCACCACCGCCAGCGTCAGCACCCCGGCCTCAGACCCCGGCAACGACGACGCATTCTCCGCGAACGCAATCCCCCCGCGGCCCCCCACCCCTACGCTCTGGAGCATGGTCGCCCGCAACCGCGTCCCGGCCTGGGCCCAGTCCGCACGCACGGCACCCGCCCCAGCCGCACAGGCCTCGATCACGGGGTCGCGCACCAACGACCCCTCGCCCACCCGCGACGCGGTAGCCCGCGACACCGGCGCCGGCGCGATTGCCCGACGCCCGCGGCGCATCCCGCAGGGCGCCGAGTACGCGAGCCGGGTCCCCGTCTGGGCGCGCACGAGGACGAGGGGCAGCGTGACGGCCAGCCGAACCCAGACCGTTGCTGAGCTGCGCCGGTCCATGCAGTTCGACCCGCGGTCCCGACACCCCGGCGACGAGTATGACACGCGTGCGCAGTCGGAGGGCAGCGACAACGACCTCTTTGTGCCGCAGAGCCCGACTCAGCCCCAGCCGCAGCCGCAGCCCCGTACTAACACGCGGACGGCCCCCGTTCGTAGCCAGACCCGCAGGCGTAATGGGGCCGCGAATGCCCAGGCGAGTGCTCTTCCTAGGGATCTGGAGATGGAGCAGCTTAGGGGGGAGCTGAAGAGGTGGCGGGGGGCGTACTGGGCGCTTAGGAGGAGGACGGAGGAGTAAATCATTTGTACACCGAGGTAGGTCGCATGTATTTTCGTGGTATATCAGGCCAGGTAGGTGCGTACCTAAGGTGGGTTCCGCGTTTGGTTTTGATAGTTTTTGAAATTTTTGTGTTGCGTTCTGTTTTATGCATCATAAGAACTCTCCTGGTTGCTGCTTATTATAATTTTGAATTATATTTGTTGTTGTTTGAGAAACCGTTTATTCATGCTGGTAGGGGTGAGATGGAGCGTAGGTAGTGCACAATTTATAAGCTTGCAACCAGCGCATGAGGGTGTTGTGATCAATAAGATGTGCCTTTTTCAAGTATTAATATGGTGACTTATGATTGAATCAGTTGCTTGATGACCTTGGATCATCAAGCTTGCGATACAAGCTATGCTTGCCCAGCACGCGTGAACCGGCGAGTTAGATCCCAGCCACACAAGCGGTCTAGGTACCTGCAGAGGCGAATATCCAATGAGTTTATAAACCCCGGTCTTGAATCAACTCCTAGAAGAATAACCTTTGATATGCAAAGATATAGTGTGATAAAAAGTGTAGGAGTAAGATTTTGCGTTGGGGAATTAAGCAGGCAGAAGGGATGGGTGCAAGTCAGATGACCTTCAGAACCCTAACTCTCCGGATAGTCTAAGCAAGCACCCAGACAGCAATAAAGGCATTGGGAGCAACCTGTACGTGATAAATATGGTAGACTGAGAGATAGAACGTCTCACTCGTGTCTGTGAAGGTGTGGGCTGCAGCTGCTTTATTTTGCTGAGTTTTCCTGCACCGTGAATTGTCCTCTGTGGGTGAATGGATAACCAACCGCTGGAAACTTAGAGTGAATGATTGCTCACTCTTCACCCGGTATTGCTCCCAGCTTCCAACACAGTGAATGGTGAAGTCAGTAAAGCCTCTAGCTTAAATAGCTCGCTTCCTGCCCACGAAGAGTTCGCTTTCTCCCACTCCCATCTGCAACCTCCCCAGCATCAACGCGTGTCCGAGAAACTTCAACTCTTACAACCCAACGACTCGAACAACACAAGATGTCAAACTCCGACGGAAAAAAGACTAACGCATCGACTGCCCCGGCCGGCCACGCGCAGGCTTCCTCCCCTCGCGAACAACCCGCCCCCGCTGCCCCTGGTGCCGACCATTTTCCTGAACAAGTACCGGCTGAATCCACACCTGACACAGCGCGCGACCGCCAATCTCACATCCGCTACATGCGGCGCCAGATGAAGGAGATGACGCGTGAATTCAAGGCACTTTTTCAGGAACGTAAGGACCTAGAGAAGAAGGTGCGCGGTCTCGAAGCTCAGAAGCGCGAGCTGCAGCGCAGGATCGAGACGCGTATCTCAACCCCACAAGGTTGTTGCCAGCAATGTGAAGAGCGGAAGAATGTGGCGGATAACCATCGCCGTTAATTTTTCAAGTTGTCGACGAAGCTTGGAGGTTGGTATAGGTGGCTTTGAGAAAGTCTTATCTACTCCCACATCTGAGGTACGTCACATCGTTGGAGTCTACCCAAGTATGGGGGCTGAGAGTCTGCGCTATAAGATCTATGCTAATGAGGCTATCCAGCTGCGCGATGACTGTTTGAGGCACCAAGTGCGATTCTAGAGATGCAGTCAGAACTTGAGGATATGAAGGCGCGTTGGAGACCGATTATGAACCTGTCTAACTTCTTCTTCTGTTTGGAGAACTGTATGTACTGAATGACGCCCGTCCCTCTATGTTCTGTACAATTTTCCTTTGTTATGTGCGATTCGTCATGTACACCTTTGTGGTCGGCGAATGTTTTCTTTTGTCCTGTTGAGCCATATTCTGGACCTCTTTGACCTGTACTACTCTTCGCTTGTCGCCGTTGTGGTTCATTGTCCCAAAGGATCGGAATAAGAAAGGCCTTTGTCCAAGCCAAGTAGTGACGAGCCTAGTAAAATCCAAATTACATAAATACCGCATAGCTGCACTCTTAAATAGACTCAACCGTCCATCTCCAAGCTCGATATCCGCCATAATGTCAAGCTTTGGCCGCCGGATTGGCGGCAGCTCGCGTCGACGTGGCGTCAACAACGCACACATGATGGAGACAGATGATGACCTGCAAACGAGAACGGCACGCTCAAACGCACCATCTCCAAAGGTGCGAGCGCACCTAAGGCATTGGCCGGCTCACCTTCCCCGCCTCCCAGCACACGACCCAGCCATCGAGCGAGTCCCTGCCTGGAAGAAGTCACGCAACGACGAGGAAACTAGCAAACGCGCAGCAGCGTCGCAAGCTACCTCCAACGCCCAACACCGCACCGTCAAGCGCGACCAGAATACCCAACGGAGACGGGCGGCGACTCAGACTCAATCGGCGCCGATACCGGTACCCGCGCTCTTGACGACCAACACCGCGTCGTCTACGAGTCACACCATCGCCGATCTCCAAAAAGACCTGGTCCGCACCGTCAACAGCGAGAAGGCAGCCCTTGCGGAACTACGAGCCCATCTCCTCGAACTCCAGCGGTGTTCCAACCGCCCCGCCGACGCATCCGAAGCCCTCATATCCAGCGCAGAACACTCGCGCGCCGAAGTCGCGGACCTCCGGGAAACAGTCCGAGGTCTACGCAGTGAAATCGCACGGCTCAAGTTTGATGAGGACGTGCTGCGGGATACAATGGCCACAAGTGAGCGGGAGATGGTAGCACTAGTGTCAGAGATCGATGCGCTGAGGGCTATTGCCACTGCTACTGGGTTTGGGCCGGAGGACTGCGCGGCCTTGGATGCATTCAAGATGAGCACGCAGGTTGTCATTACGCGATTGAAGAACTCGAATCGGCGGCTGGTGAGGGCGATGAGGCGGCTCAGGCGGACTTGTTCTGAGCGGGAGGATGCCAGGTTGGAAGTCGAGGGTCTTCGGGCGGCGCAGCGTTGTGAGGGAGAGGATTTGAAAAGGGAGATTGAGTTACTGAGGGTTGAGATCACGGTGCTTCACCATGCCGGTTCCGGGGGGTCCCGGCCAACGGCGATTTGACTATCATATAATAAAATTTTATTGGACAATAATTAGGTAACAGTTATTTAATGCTAAGGCGTTGGGTAATTATTAATTATAAGTAATATAATTACTAGTGGGCTATTAGTTTAGCAGGGGAATATTAATTAAGAAAATTAATATTACCTTTAGGCGGATATTATTACTAAGCCTAGTATTATTTTAGTTTAATATTAGTTTTATATTATAAATAATATATTTTTTATTAAATTAGTGTTAAATTATATTTATAATATTAAAATATTATTAATTTTAGCCTAAGTATTAGTTTTGCGTTATAAATAATATATTTTTTATTAAATTAGCATTAAATTATATTTATAATATTAAAGTAGTATTATATTTTTATTTTAGTTTTAGTTTTATATTACTAATAAAATAGTTTTTATTAAATAAGTATTAAATTATATTTATAGTATTAAAATAATAATATACTTTAAAATAAGTAATAAAGCGCCTGGGTAATAGTTAATATTATAAAGGCTTATATTAAATAATAAAAAAGTATTAGCTAAAATAATATTAAAGGGGATTTTAAAATGCTTGGGAGGGCTTAGGCTACATTTATTATTTATTAAAAGTAAATATATATAGTAAAGCCGGGCTAAAGCCGGGTACAGGTATATAAGACTTTAGTTATAAATTATAGCTAGGAATAAGCACCTGCTTGTAAAAAGTAAATAATAATAATAAATTTTTTAGGCTAAGTGCTTATAATAAAATTACTGTGCTATAAAAATAAGGTAATAAAAAAGGCAGGTGGCCTAATATAAAGTTTAATTTAAAGGGGTTTAATAAAAAATAGTTAGGTAAATATAAACTAGATCTAAAGTAAAAATATAATTTTATAAGTTTTTACTTTAGCTTAATATATTTGCAAATATAGCATTATAATGCCTTTAAATTTAAGTTTTTTTTTTATTTTATAAGGTGGTTTAAGGGCTTATTTTCTAGCTTGCTAGGTTTTTTTATAATATTTTTAATAATTAGCATGGGCTTTATAATATTAACCCACAGGCGTTACTTTAGTTTTTTTATAATATTTTTAATTATTAGCTTAGGCTTTATAATCTTATTTTTTAGCTTGCTAGGTTCTTTTGTAATATTTTTAATAACTAGTATAAGCTTTATAATATTAACCCACGGGTATTACTTTAGTTTTTCCGCGATATTTTTAATTATTAGCTTGGGCTTTATAATATTAACCCACGGGTATTACTAAATTCTTCTGTAATATTTTTAATTATTAGCTTGGGCTTTGTAATATTAACCCACGGGTATTACTTTAATTTTTTTTAGTAAATATAAGCCGTGGCCAGGCTTTTCTTACCTATTTTATTTTTTTTTACCTAAAAGGGTTAATGTTTCTTCCCAAGATTAGGATTAAATTAATAAGCTCTTAATTATTAGCTTGGGCTTTGTAATATTAACCCACGGGTGTTATTTTAATTTTTTTTAGTAAATATAGGCCAGGGCCGGGGCCAGGCTTTTCTTACTTATTTTATTTTTTTTTACTTAAAAGGGTTAATGTTTTTTTTTAAGATTAAGATTAAATTAATAAGCTTTTTTACTTTAAAATAGATAGACCACACTAGTTAATATTTTTTTTTAAAATTAGGATTAAATTTAAGTAGCTGCTGCCTTTATATTTCGTGCTTTTTTATAAGCTTTTTTTATTTATAAAATAAATAGACCGCGCTGGTCTAGGACCTTTATAATAAATATAATAAATTAAATTTAAGTAGCTATTGCCTTTATGTTTTATACTTTTTTATAAGCTTTTTTTATTTAAACTACTTAACTTATTTAGGCGGTAATAATAAGCTTTTTTACTTTAAAATAAATAGACCGCGCCGGTCCAGGATTTTTATAATAAATATAATAAATTAAATTTAAGTAATTACTACCTTTATGTTTTATGCTTTTTTATAAGCTTTTTTTATTTAAACTACTTAACCTATTTAGGTAGTAAATATAATATAATATTTTAGTTATATAGCTAATATTTTAAACTAATATATTATTATTATTACTAGCACCCTTATTAAAGTCCGCCTTAAATAATAACTTTAAAATTTTATTAAAAAGCTTCCTAAAATATATTTTATTAATTTCCTGCCTATTTTTTTAAATAGTTAGTATAAGCACCTTAAAAAACTTAAGCAGGTATAAAACACAAATTTTAATATACTTAAGTTATAATAAAGGTAGGATATAATATTTAAAAAATTATATATTTTATAATACTTCTAGTATGGCAAAATTTAGCATAAATAACTAATAAGTGTTATTATATATTACTAGGTTATTTTAGGGACTAGGATTTAAGTCCAAAAAATAATTTTATATAATTTTTAAGGATTATACCTTTATAAGTTATATTTTTATTAGCACGCGGGCGGTATTACTATTCCAGGGACTAGGATTTAGGTTTAAAAAATAATTTTACATAGTTTTTAAAAATTATACCCCTATAAGCTATATTTTTATTAGCACGTGGGTGGTATTATTATTCCAGGAACTAGGATTTAGGTTTAAAAAATAATTTTACATAATTTTTAGGGATTACGCCCCCACAAGCTTTATACTAAAAAATATACTAGTATTTAAAATGCTTAGTGCATAAGACTAGCCAGGTTAACCTAATATTTTTATACTATTTATACACCCTTTATATCTTACTATATATATTATATTTAATTACTAAGGGAATGCCTATTATACACCATTACTTATTTTTAAAAGCTATTTTTTATATTAACTTATAATTATATATTAAAGGGTAATTTATATAATTATATTTTTAAAACTACCTAGTAAAGCATATTTAAGACCTTAATAATATAGTTATTTAGCTTGCTAATTAAAAATAAAATCTTAGTTTTAATTTCCATGGGTATATAAAAAATAATAAATTATTCCTTGCTAAGGTTTCTTATTTATATATATATTATATAAAAATTAATAAGCACCTTATAGTTTATTTATAATCTTATTTTATATAAGTTTATTTTTGGTAATACTAGTTTTTAAGTAAATATAATAATACTAGCACTAGGAATTACCCGGCCGGACCAGGGCAAGGCTAGTTAATTAAAAAAAATTATAAAAGGAGACTATAGGTAAGAAACTTAAATTTTTACTTAATAATAAGTCTTAATTATTAAAGCAATACTATTAATATTATTAAGGCAAGGATAAAGCTAAGGACAGGACTAAATTAAGGAACTTAAAAAATTAATAGTAAAACGCTAAGTTATTAGACCACTAGCAAAGGATCTTAAAGTAATTTATATTATTTTAATATTTTTATGCTTATATTTTACTTCACATCCTTTTTTTTTATATTTAATAGTATTATTATGGCGCTGGTAGTTGTCAAGAACAGTTATTATTTTTTTAAAAAAAGAAATGGTTTTTTTAAAGTCCCTGGTAACTAGGAGATCCCGCGAAAACTTAAATATATTTAGGTGTTATTTAAATTATATAGTAAAGTGTTAATATAAGTAAATATATATAAGTATTAAGGGTGGTTATACTTACTATTATAAAGTACTATAACCTTTAAGTTTTAGCTAAGATATTATTACTAGCCAAGGTGCTAAGTATAAAAAGAGATAAAAAAAAAAAGGAGAGAGAGAGAGAGAAAGAAAGAAAGAGAAAAAAAAAAAAAAAAGAAAAAAAAAAAAAAAAAAAAAAAAAAAAAAAGAGAGGGAGAGAGAAAAAAAGGAAGATATAAAAGAGAGAGAGAGAGAGAGAAAAAAAGAGAAAAAAAAAGTAAGAGATAAGAGAAAGAAAGAGAGGGAGAGATAAGAAAAAGAAAGAGAAAAAAAAAGAGGGAGAGATAGGAGAGAAAGAGAGAGGGAGAGAGGGAAAGAGGGAGGGAGAAAGAAAGGGAAAGAGGGAGAGAGGGAGAAAGTAAGAAAGTAAAAAAGTAAAAGAATAAGAAAGGGAGTTATCTAGATACTAGCAGTAATTAAATTATTATAAAAAAAAATTATTATAAATTTAAAAAATATTTATTTTAAATAAAGAATAAGAGCCTGGCCTAATTCCGGGAGCATAATATATTAAAAAAATAAAGATCTTTTTTAGCTTAATTTAAGCCTAGAAAAAATTGTATTAAAATATTTATAGGTATGGTAGGATTAATTATATTTTTTAAAGGTTTAGTTATAATACTAGTGGTTTTACTAGTTACTATTTATTTAAAGTAAACTTAAATATATTTTTCTTGCTACTATTTTTATTATATTTCTTGTTTTTATATTTAAATTAGGCGTATTTTTAAAAGATTTATGGTTTAATTTTATCCTGGGTTATTTATTATTACTTGTATAAGTAAATATAAAAAAAAATATTAGCTATATAAATAACGCACTACCTAAAAAAAATAAAGTATTAGTAATAAAGCAAAGGTATTATTATAACTATAAACTTACTAGGTTAGTTAAGAGTTAGTAAATAAGTATAGCTATATTTTAAAGCTATTATACTATACTAAGGTATATAGGTTTTAATTATATTTAAATTAACTTTTTAAAGTTATTTAATATTAAGCATGGGATTTATCCCAGGGGAAAGTACTAGTATTATAATATTAAAGTTATAATAAGTTTTAGTAGCTAAATAGGCTTAAGGTAGTTAAATTTAATATATAAACTAAAAAGTTTTTTTAAAGCTTTTTTTATTTCATTGCGTATACCTAGATTATACTAAGATTAATTATAATATTAGCTAAAAATTCCCGTTTAATATTAGAGAATTAATTATAAGTAATCTTTATACTAAGCTTGTAAATAAGGCGGCTAAGTAACTTTAAAATAATTAAAAAGTATTAATTATTACTACCTTTGCCACTGCTACCGCCGCTATTATTACTTAAAGTATAGGTAATATTAATTTTATTAATAACGCGGAATAATAAGGTAAAAAGAAATTAAATAACCCCTGTTTTAGCTTTGTAAACTAATTTTATA